TACCGCGAAAACATTATAGCGAATGCATTACAGCGAATGTAATATCGTGAATGCATCATAGCGAATGTATTATAGCTAATATATTAGCGCGAATGCATTATAACGAATGCATTACAGCGAAAACATTATAGCGAATGCACTACAGCGAATGTATTATCGCGAAAGTATCATAGCGAATGTATTAGAGCGAATACATTACAGCGAATGCAATATCGCGAATGCATTACAACTAACATTATCACAATGCAATAGTGATTTATATTTGACAAAATTATATAAAAAATATGTGGAATTTGGTATACTCAATTTTATTAACGATTAGATTAAGTCGTTTTACAAAAGACCCTATTAATAAATATTTTAAGATTGATTCTAATATAAGTTAATTTTTGCCCCAACAAGCCCCAAACCCCAGGCTTGTAGATTATATTGGTTTATTAAGTCTCCTATAGGATAATTGTTATTATCAATAATACACCATTTTTATATAAATAATTCATAAAAAATTTCAAAATGTGATATTATATTTTAAAAAATGTTTAAGTTTTAATGAATTTTTTAATTTTTTTTCTAATTCTTTTGATTATCAACCACCAGAAAAGGAGAAAGTTAAAGGGAAAAAAATAGAATTTAAAGCTATAATGGCCAATGAATACTTATTATATCATATCATATTTTTAAGCATAATATAATTAATTAGACTTAATTCTAATAGCCCCTAGTTACTGATATGATTAACCCTTTCCAGCGCTAAAAAAATATGTTGATAATTTTTAAAATTTTTTAAATAAGTAGATGAAGGGGAACATTGGATTGAGACCTCTATCTTATTAAATCTTTTGTAATCGTCAAAATTATTAATTTTATAGCTTTAAAACATAAAATCTTATCTTTTTTAAATTTAAACATTGTTAAATTTAAAATAATAAATGCCAACTCCTGTTTCAAATATAAATCTTAAAATTATAAAAAATATATTTAATTATATATTTTGGTGGTTTCAATAGAGATGATATGATATGTGAATTTAGTTCAAATTTAATATTTTGTAAGTTATTTTCAAATCATATTATTCCTGAAAGGGAATGCCTACAATAAATATTTTTAAACATAATGATTATGAGACTTTATGAAATGGGAAAAGAAGATTTTTTAATTTCATATTCTGTCTATTAAATTATTTCTAAATCTCACTGTGCAAATTGGTTTATTATTCATGATACGGTTTAAAACAATTTCAACTTTAAGAGAGACAGAAGGCCACAAATCCATATTTTTATGCCGTTTAATATTATAATTTTAATTATGCTTTAATATTATTTACTTACCTTAAATTCCGTATAAAACAATTTATAAAATACAGAGAAAATATTCAAAATAAAGAAATTTGAAAATTTAGGGCAGGGCTTTAAATAATCAGAGCTAAAAAATGCAGACCGAAGAACACAGGTATATTAATTTACGACATTTATATTATTTATTTTATTACTAATTATGACATTGAAATATGTTAAATTCAATTTTGTCTGTACTGTAAAAAATAGCTAAATATTAATAAAAGTATACTAGAATCAATCTTAAAATATAAAAATTTTATTAATGTATAACTTAAGTTAAGTGTTTGTTGGGCTATCTCATGGTATTTAATAAATTCAATTATAAATTGTCAAGCTTATGATGATATTGACAAAAACGACTACTAGCCCTATTCCTACTATTAAAAGAAAGTTGATAATGAGATCAAAAATTTTGATTATTTACAGGGCGGCTAAAAAACGTCGCGTTTTGAAATCTTATTAACTCCGAAACGTGTCATTCGTTTTTTATGAAATCTCCTGTCTTAATATTCTCAAAATATATAATTTTATAAAGTGGTTTTTAGAAAATTAAGATAAAAAAAATGTAGTAGTACATATATATTTTTAAAGATTTCCTTTAATTCATAAACTATAACATAAAAACAAAATATTTAAAATTTTATAAAGTGGCTTTTAGAAAATTAAGATAAAAAAATGTAGTAGGACATATATATTTTTAAAGATTTCTTCAAATTCATAAACTATAACATAAATTATTTTGGCATTATTAAACAAATCTCATTATTAAATACCACTAACAATATAAACATACGATAATTTTCTAAATTATGTATTTTATAAGATCTGATAATCATAAAATTTTGACATGAGAAGAAAAATTGGAATCAAGTTTAATTCCTGAATTCTCTAGGAAAAAGTGGAATATTAATCCAGTTCACCAAGCTAACCCCATGGTTATCATATAAATCATCAAGCTCCTTTTGTTTTTCAACTAAGATTTTATCAAGCAAAACCATAGATTCGTAATACGAATTCCACTAGAATTTATCAGATACCTACCCAATTTCTTGATGTTACCTGCCATATTGGTAGACATTTTTTGTTTATTCCACAAAGTAAGACACTTTTGGAAAGAACTTTGTGATATTATTTTATGTTATCAGCTAAAGCTAAAAAATTTCTAATGCCCATAATTAGGGGAGACCGGTGTTATAATGAACCCAGGGTTATAGTGAGAGTGGCTTTATTTTCTAGAGTATTAAACTCTAAGAGATAATTTTTTACCAAAACTATATACTTATATATTGCATATGCGGCTATAATTTTTATTTCTATCGGACCGCTTGAAGAATTTTTATAATGCTTTATAATATTCGTACCTTCAAACGTAACTTTTTACACTTTTACTATTTTTCAAAAATAAAGATTAATATACAATTTTACCACACAAAAATCATCTTATATAAAAGAAAAAATCCTATTTTATAGAATAACAATTTACCCGAACAAAATTGATAATATAAATACTTCAAAATATGATCTTAATCAAAGTGGTGCTACTCGGGCTATTTTTATGGTGTTAGGTCTAACCTTATTTTTTTGCTATTTTTTAAAAATTTGACATGCAAAAAAAGCCAAGGAGAGACCAACTAAAAGAAAAAAAATCAAAAAATGTTATTATATGATAAATAATTGTTTGGTATACAAATAAATTATATCAAGCATAACAAGCAAGACTGCTTTCAATGTCAGTTATTAGTTACATGGCTTTGCAATTTTATTGTTTTTTTATTTGCAAAGATTGTGAATGTTTTAAATGATTTTATATATCACTTTTATGTTTTAAATCATTAAATATATCCTAATAAAAAAATATATAACTTTTATATATGGAAAATTAAGCAGAGTTTATAATAGCCTCGACCAATGGCTGTCCCCGGGTAGGGTTCACTCGGTTACCAAAAAAAATCCAGGAAAAATGATATTTTGAAAAAATTATTAGAGATGTATTTTTGAAATTTAAACATATCATAAAACTAATAGAGCTGAACAAAAGGAGATATTTTTTATTAAAAATGATAAAGTACTTATAATTTTCTTAAGGTTTGCCTTTAGGGTTCGCCATAACCCCGTTCTCCCCTACAAGTTTTCAATAAATTAAAAAGAAAAAACTTAATGTTTAATATTTAAAATGATTAGATGAAAAAGAGAAATCTATTTTATTACTTAGAATCTTTTTTACATATTTTGAGTCAAAAAAAAGAAAAGCCTTAGCCTTAATTTCAATAAAAAAATGATTTTAGAGCCAATCCCCATTTTAACTTAATTTTCAGATTCAACTAAGTTAGTCGAAAAGTCGATAAATATAAAATTGTAAATTTCATGAAACTCCATTCGCGATATGATAATGCATTCGCTATAATGCATTCGCGATAATTCATTCGCTATAATGCATTCGCTATAATGCATTCGCTATAATGTATTCGCTATAATGTATTCGCTATAATGTATTCGCGATAATTCATTCGCTATAATGCATTCGAGGTAATATATTCGCGATAATGCATTCGCGATAATTCATTTGCTGTAATGTATTCGCTATAATGCATTCGCGGTAATGCATTCGCTATATTATATTCGCGATAATGCATTCGCTATAATATCTTTTCGCGGTAATCGACATTCGCGATAATGCATTCGCGATAATACATTTCGCGCTAAAATTTTCGCGGTATTGACATGTAACCAAAATCTGTATCTGTAAATTTTTAAAAAAATTGGCTAATCCGATATTTTATATAAGTCCAATATCGGCGCCGATCCTGCAGATATTCAATATCGTTACAGCCCTACTAATTAATAATTTTTTTAATCTTAATATATACATGGAGCCATGAGCGGATTAATTGTAGGGGAAAACTCTAATCGGATTTTATGGCAGAGATAGAAGAACTCCTTGGTATCTTCAGATAAAGTAGATATTCCTTCCTGTCTAGTTTATAGTACAATTTCGTGACCGAATTACCCAGATTAGATGTGACCACATGAATAAAGTTAGGAAGAAATATTTTTTTCTTTTCTTGATTTCTGCGTTTGAGAGGCAGTTTTTGTGCATGAATTAGGTCAAATCATCAGAATAGGTAATAGAGAAGTAATTGTGACTGTATATTAAAAAGCGGACCTGGTTTTAAAATGAAAATATATAAACCGGCGCAAAAAAAAATTTTTTAAAACGGGATGAGCCAAATTTATATTTTTACAAAACCTGGGCCTTAAAAAAAATAATTTAAATTATATAAATTAATCAGTTAAAAATAATGAAAAATCATGTAATGGTTTTCGTATTGTTCATTTACCGCTCTATTACCATTTTCCCTTAAACCATTTATAATACGAGTCAAAATAAAATTTTGTAAAAGGCTTAAAGTGATCAAAATTTTAAAAATCCAGACTTGGATTAAAAATAACGGTACAGTCAGGGCCAAATTTAAAAAAAAAATCAGAGTCGGACATGAAAATATTTTTTTTAGGGTTAAATTTTTTAATTTGATTTTTGATGGGAGATAATGGAAGTTTTATAGGTTGCTCTCTAATTTCCCCAGACTGGATACGGACCTTATCTTTAAATATATTAAAATAAAATATATTATAGTAAAAACGTAAAATTTCGCTAAAATTTACCTCTTCCTATAGTTATCGTACAAAAGGCATCGTGAGAATGGCCGACAGGTATAACGGATATAATACTTATCCTGTGAGTCTAATAATATTTAAATTGAAATAAAGAATACAACAAAATCTACATTTTAGGCTTATAAAAATCCCCCTACACCTCCCCTTTCCTCCAAAAATGTATACAATATATCCCTCTAAAGAAGAACTTGAAAGAAAATTAGTAAGCTAATAAATTTTTAAAATTATGATTATAATAAAAATATTTTAGAATAATGCATTTTTATAAAAAAATAATGAAAATCCAAAATTACTTTATAAAAAATATAATATAGCCAAAAAATAAGTAGGCCTAAATCTCCAATAAAATTTATAGGGGAAAAATATCTATATTAGTGCCCTCTAGAAATATCCAGGCTACGCCTAGGCTCACAAGTTCTACCTACCTCTACTCAGTGACTGTCTTTTTGCCATATTTAATTGATTACTGATTATATTATACCAATACAATAATATTGCCATGTTTTTCTTTAATTCATTAGCAATAGCAAAATTAATATATATATTTTTTACTTTATAAAAATCGATATCTTCGATAAGAGCTCGCGTTCTTTGGTCGCGCTTTGTCACGCACTTAACAACACCATCGACGATGATTTGATATCCTTGAAGCGCCTTCTCAGGTAGTTGTTTAGGCTTACACCAACTCACCAATATACTTTTCTTAAGTCTCTTATCGACCGTTAAAAAAGTTGGGTGAGGAACTTAAAAAGGTGATAGTGATTTTGAGGGGCGGGGTAAATATTACAAATAATTTGGATAATAAACGTATATCAGTAAGTACAATTTATGTTAAATAAAACATTGAACGAATCATATTCCTATGATCGATATAATATAATTATTATAGACCTCACGAACAAATCCTAGTCCGATTTGGCCGAACTCAGACAGATATTTTCTCGGATTAGGTCGACGAACCTTAATTTAAAAATTCATTTCGGACTGAATTGGACATAGATTTTTTTATTTTTTCATAATGTTTTTATGAAAATTATTTTCAAGAATAACCATAAATGTTTATTCTTAAATGCTTATAATTTTTCATACAGTCCAATACAAAAAAAATCGGGATGGCTATTTCTAGATTAAAATTTTGAACCGGATAAAAAAATATTGGGTCGGTCCGTCGAAAAACGCAGATAGGGTTGGATGAGAAGAAATAGTTGCAGGGCTCTGATATATACAAAAAATTACATTAAATTGTGTAAACTCAAGAAGTAAATACACCGCTTGAGGCTCAGCAGGTAGCTCGTTCTAAAGCCGGGTACAATTTCTTCTGAGCCCTAACGTCGTAGGGAAGTTATTATATAGAAATAATCAAATAGATACATTATAAGAATATTAGACTAATTAAAATTTACCATCTATAGTAAAATATACTTTTCATATTTTTTTACTAATTTTTATTTATTTTGCTTATGAAGTCGTGCATCATATTCTAATTTTTTTATACACATATAGAATGGTAATAGTAATGTTTATCTAAAGTTTTATAAAAAACAGTTATTTTCATGATGAGTATATAAATTTTATTCTGGGAATAATAAGTCCAGACATTTTTAAAATAATTTTTAACTTTTCTTTTATAAAAATATATACAATTTATTTTGATACTAGATTTCAAACACTTAATTCACTTAATTTTGCCATAATTAACAGCTATTAAAATATTAATTTCACCTTTGGCATTATGTTGATGTCTCAAACTCAAAATATCTCCTTTTTTTTACTTCATGTTATCTATAAATAATTAGGCTTCCTCCTTTTTCTACTCGACTAGTTAACTCTACCACTCTCCAGCTTTTCCTTTTGTTCTTTTAATTTATTTAAATATCATGTAGGTTACCGGTTCTTTTTATAATCACCCTAGCTGCCTCCCACTTATTCGCATATGTTTGGACGCAGATAACCCTTTTTAAACTGCCTATTAGTAACTATCTCGCTTTTTATTGTAATGGCTAGTTTACTCAGCCATAATTAATTTCATTTTGAGTTTGAACATCATTTTACCTGGTCTTGCTCCAGTTGTTGGGTGTCTGGCTGTAATTTACCAAAAATTGATACAAGCCTATCTTGGTTCAATTAAATTTTATTGCCGTTTTCATTGTGCGTCCTACCTATATCTGGCCGTTAGCAGTTAGGTGGTAAAGCGACGTGAATGTCTGCTTTATTCCCCTTCTTATAAAATGCTAGCAATTAATTGGTTCTGCACTGGGCTCCTGCACATATGTTTTGGATTTTCCAAATCTTGAGCTACGAATATTATAACTTTTCAATTACTACTTTTACCTCCATCCATTTCGATTGGCTATCAACTATAATTAAATAGTAACCATTTTGAATAAACCGTGTCCATGTGAAGCTTGCTCAAAGGTTCATTATATATTTAGGACATAAAAAGTTATCTAATAATAATCTCCATAATCAAAACATCACTTTTTTTGTATAAATTCAAGGAGACTATATAGACTAATGTTAATTTTTTGCCATCTACCAGTATCGAACCCGAGATCATGATAATCATATCTAACATTTTGATTATAATATTAGTCCAACTCAATTAAATTTTGCCATTACCATTTTGAATTTAATTAATCTATAAATTTTTTAAAGAAAATAAGGCTTCAATTTATAATATATATACTTTCATTACATATGGCTGAAATAATAATTAAATTCATCAAACCTACCAATGACCCTTAAAAGTTTAAAAATTTTATGAGTCACAATATCAAATATTCTTAGGTAAGAAATTCACTATTTAGTTATATCAACCTGCAGAGGTATCATTAGCACGGCCCAGCCGGGCTTGGATTTTTTTTTCAAAAATTTTTTTCGGCCCGCTCCGGGTTTTTTATTAAAAAAATTTCAGGCGAAAAAAAAATTTTTTTAGGCCTGGCCCAGATCTTTTTAAAATATATTATTTTTATTTTTTTTGAGATGTTCTATCATTTTTATATAAGTTTAGTATGTTCATTATACAAATACAAAAGCCTCATCTAGAAAGATTACAATTTTTAGGTCTTAAATTGCAAATACAAATGTATAAAAATGAAGCCTAAAATATTTTTTATTGGGCACATAAATATAATTTTTTGAGAAAGTATACAAACCTCTCAGCTAGCAGGATTAATTTTTTTAGGCCACAAATTACAAATAAAAATGTAGAAAATATTTTTAATTGGGCACTTAAAGACAATTTTATTAGAAATAATGTAATATAGGTATATTGAAAATATACAAATATGATTTATATTTGCATAATGAGGTACTAAATATATACTTCACTAACATATAAAAAAATAATAGAATATCTCAAAATAACCTTTCATCAAAATAAAGGAATAAAGATTAATTTATTATTCAAACCTCATATAAGATAATTTGATTTCTGACATCCATAATCAAATAAAGGGCATATGATTTACCCATCATCAAATAAAGAAGAAATGTGTTATTCCCTGTCATTCTTGACGGGTTATTAGCTAGTAATATTATAAAAGAAATCCTCATTTTTAATTTTATATATAAATGTTTAATATCTCATAAATTTCAATATGCGTTTGATGGAGGTCCAAATGACAGGTAAACTGCAAATGTTGCAGGTATACATTCTTTACATAGCCTATTAGCTAAGTTATTAGTTGATATGAGCGTTCGTAACCTGCAACTGCAACATTTGCAATTTACTCAGGCATTTGCGGCACCATCAATGTTGAAAATTAATAGATATCAAATACACAAAAAATTTAAAATGATGATTTAATTTATAATATTATAACTTTTTAATAAAAAGTGACTGAATATTTTTTATTTAAGGGAACATTGTTTTATTTTCTATTATTCAATATTTTATAAATACTGGCCTGAAAAAATTTTGAATAAATACTGTACCATCGATAAATTTCTTGCCCAAAATTTTATAAATACTACTTAAAACATTAATTTTTTGTTAATAAAAAAAAATATTGCTCATTTTAATTCATTTTCCCAGAAAAATAATAGCCTATAGAAAAAAAGAATATAAAACAAAAATGTTTAAATATAAAAAAAACGCCAAAAAACAGAACAGTCAAAAACTTAATGAAACACTCATATTAAATTTAAAAATTCATTTTCATAATAAAAGTTGATTTATTTAGGATAAAAGTCCGTTTTTTAGGAAAGAAACAAGCGGTGATTTTTTTCTGTTTTAAATTAATACTACAATCCTTATAGAGAATAACTACCAACATTTTATTGCTAATTTTTCATTACATAAATCAATTTATAATTTGCTAGTTTTGTTAAATTGTGTTATTTTTAAAAAAAAAAAATTTTTTGTTTTTTACACCTCTATTTTATTAAAACTAAACTCCATTTAACAAAATGAGAAAGTTATAATTGATTCTGATTATGAAAAATTTTTAACAAAATATTTGATAAATTATATTTAAGATGATTGTGATATTGAAAAATTCATAATAAAATTGGAAATAATATTTTCCATAAGGATTGTAGTAGTAATTTAAAAAAAGAAAGAAAAATTTTTGTACCTTTTCCCGAACAAACGGTTTTTTATTTCCGACCCACTCTATAAGACTTCAAATTTAATTTTCATAGAAAAGGGAGAAAATAAGAATTTTCTACTAAGGTCTGTGTCAAAGACAAAAGATCAGTTGTTCGAGTTCGGTCAGATCGGGAAAATCTGTTAAAAGTTAAACAGTAAGTAATAAGTGATGAGGTTGAAATAATACTAGAAATTTCCATAAATAGAATGTATTATAAATTCGATACTGTTAATCTGTTAAATTAAATTATGAATATTTAATATATCAAAGAATTAAAATAAATGTTATAAAATTAAATATAATTCAATTCACAAAGAAAATAATAATATTCTCTATGCGTTTACAATTATCGGCATTATTTTTTTTAGATAAAACGTGTTGCATGCGCGCTATTATATATTTAAATACTTAAATAATTTATATTTAAAGTTCAGTGAAATTTATTTGTATATCTCAAGGCAACAAAATATATATAAAAACATATATATATTTTCATTTTGTGATCACTTGTTTTTGCTTTTTGAATATATAAAAATATATTGTAAATTACTTGAATAAAAATCGTTCCAAATTTAATCTTCAAAACTATAATTTAATTTTTTGAATTCCTCCGTAACTTATTCAATACAATCACACATTTTATTCTATTTGTTATTACCACCACCCCCACCAATAATCGATATGGTGGTAATAAAGAATAGAATAAAAAGTGAGATTGTATTGAATAAGTTACGGAGGAATTCACAATATGAAATTATAGTCTTGAAGATTAAATTTGGAACGATTTTTTATTCAAGTATTTTACAATATATTTTTTATGTATCAAAAAAAAGAAAACAAAACAAGTATCTATCATAAAAGAAAAACAAGTCATCACAAAATGAAAATATATATTAATTTATATATATTTTGTTGCCTTGAGATATACAAATAAATTTCACTGAACATTAAATATAAATTATTTAAGTATTTAAATATATAATAGTTTAACTGAACTTTAAATATAAATTATTTAAGTATTTAAATATATAATAGCGCACATGCAACATGCACTCCCTCCAAAAAAAAAATATATATATAAAAAAAAAATTTTAAATCTTGAAAACACAACATTGTACAAAAAAATGGGGAAGGAAAGAGATCGTTAGGCATGCGAGAGGTAACTCTTATAATGTTAAATGAGTAATAGGGTTAATATTTAATGTTACAATAATGGTTTCATTATTATCATAATACCCAATACTTACATTAAGATTAACAAGGAATTATATAAACAATAATATATATATATATATATGGTGATAGTAGGAACTACAATTGGGAAGGGGGAATAATTGTCATTATTTCCTCTTTTTTTATTGGAATATAATTAACACGGGGTATGTATGATACATATATTATCAAAAATTTATATGAAAATATTTGGAAGAAAAAGTTAAATAACAATGATTAGTATACCAACAAATCAAATAAATTGGGAGGGGAATGGGGAGGGGACAAACTAGCAATACAATATAGTTTTTTTTTGTAATTATACCCTTGACTTCGACATATATAAGAAAGGTATAATTTACACTATAATTGTGCTAGTAGTTATCCATAATAGTTCTTTTTCGTAATTATAAATAAGTTACACTATATATGGTTAATGGAGAGGGGTCAACCTAAAAATAGCATAGTTTTTTTTCGTAGTTATACCCTTGACTTAGAACTGTAAGAAAGGTATAACTTACACTATATAAATTGGAATAATATAATAATAATAACCAATATCGGTTTTAATTTAATTATCATATAACCACATTCCAGAAATTGTATTACTTTAAATACTAATCCTTGTTATTAAACAAAAAAAATTAAATTTACAAGTTGAAAAAAAAATTTAAGGATGTTTTAATTGTAAAACAAAAAAGGTGCTTACAAAATCTTTAGCAATTATGAGAATGTAAAAAAATTTTTTTTTATAACGATTAAATTAAATCATTCTTTAAACAACGGTCTCTACATCTTCAGACCCATACCTAACACGAAAGGATATAACCAGTCTCTTTAACACGTCTCTCCAATAAGTTGGTGCCCCTATCCTCCACCATAATCGATATGATGGTAATAAAGAATAGAATAAAAAGTGAGATTGTATTGAATAAGTTACGGAGGAATTCACAATATGAAATTATAATCTTGAAGATTAAATTTGGAACGATTTTTTATTCAAGTAATTTACAATATATTTTTTATATATCAAAAAAAAAGAAAACAAAACAAGTATCTATCATAAAAGAAAAACAAGTCATCACAAAACGAAAATATATATTAATTTATATATATATTTTGTTGCCTTGAGATATACAAATAAATTTCACTATACATTAAATATAAATTATTTAAGTATAAATATATAATAGTTTAACTGAACTTTAAATATAAATTATTTAAGTATTTAAATATATAATAGTTTAACTGAACTTTAAATATAAATTATTTAAATATTTAAATATATAATAGTTTAACTGAACTTTAAATATAAATTATTTAAGTATTTAAATATATAATAGCCTTAATTTAAAAACCTTACTCGGTAAATTTGTATCATATTGTGAAGTTTCAGTTATAGTTAAATGCTTTTTTTTAAATACAATTTTTGGGGAAATGATATTAATTGTTAAATAAATGTATATATTATAAAAATAGGGCTGTGCCGATCCACAAATTTTTCATCGATCCGATATTTATATTGAATTTTATATACCATCTATCTTTGAATCAATGTCATAGAAATATCAATATTTTCTATTATGAAAAAAAACTAATCACGAATGATTAAGTGTATATTTTTTTTATTCTATAAAATTTATTAATCTCATTTAAAATATTTGGAATATTTATGTGCGATTGTCTAGTGTTGTCAATTAGCTCCACTTAGCAGATTTATAAAAAGGGCTAAATCAAGATTCTAAAATATTAATGCTTAAGCCTCGATTTAGACAATAGAAGTCAAAACTTTTCTGCGACATGTTGGCAAAATAAATAAGCTTGGGTAATTTATTTTTAGCCAAAATCTTTAGCATAGTGTAAAATTTTTGAACAAATTGTATTTTAGTTCCTCTCATTAATTTATTATTATAAAAAATATATACAATTATAAAAGCAATCATAAAATAACCAAAAAAAATATATCGGTCCGATCCGATATTTTTTGAAAAGGCAAATATCATGTGTCCATCCGATATTTAATATCGGCACAGCCCTAAATAAGGACGATTTAAACATTATATAGTAAATAAATAACTAATATTTATTCAATATATTTATAAATTTTTAATATATTTTAAAAATCAAAATTTTTGATTCATTTTTTCATTCACAAGCTAACAAAATCGATAATTCAGTTTTAATCTCGAAACTGCAAAATTTGTGTAATAATGAGATTTTAAAATTTATGAATTAAATTGTAATTTTTAAATAACAAGCTTCTTTCTACTTTTTAGGTTTCATAACAAAGCTTTATTTTAATAAATTATGTAAAAAGACTGCGAAGAATACCTCAAATTTAAACGATAATGTCTAAAATATATAACTGCATTGTGCGATAAGTTTGCTTGGCAATTTATAACAGCCAATGACAGGTTAGTGAATAGGTTGTACTAGGAAAATTTTAAAGGTATTCACATAATAGATATTCAGATGAATTAGCTGGTTGTGACGGTAATTCCCTACTCAATGTAATCCAAAGTTACAAACTATGGATTTGCGAATGAAAGAAGTTTTATGGATAAATCAAAAATCTAGTTTGGAAAACTGTAAAATATAATGTTCACAAATTTTCTATAAGCTTAAAATATTTATTTAAAAGAGGTTACCATTTATTCAATGTAATTCATATAATAGTATTGTGTATAAAAACCGAATAACAAATAACATCAATTAGAGGGGAAAAAATGGATTTAATGTTAATGATTTAAAATATTTTAGGGAATATGAAGAAAACTTTATATCATTAGCCTTAAAAAAATGAATAAGTATTTCATGTCCAAGCAAATAAGACTTATTATTTGATGGAATTTAAATCTAGAAGGGCAAGGAGTAAGAGGAAAATGGACTAAAGTTACATTAGGAAATTAGCAAACAATTCATTCCACCAGGTTTCGTGGGTCTCTTTGAAATCGAATAAAACTTTGCATGGTGAGTATGTTGTGAGGAATGAAATTAAATTTTCTATGCTCTAAGGGTGCATTCATAGTGCGACAGCGATACGAAAATACAAATATATGTAATTACCAATGACTATTCATAGTGAGCTTTTGCGACGCGACATGACAATCCTGCCACATTTGTCGCATTAAACATAAAAATCAAGTTACAAATCATTTTGTTTTTTTTCCATGCGACATAACTACAATATGGACGAAAAAGAAAATTTGCAAGTAAATTTTTGAAATGCTATTAAGATAATAAATGTTATACGTATATATATATTAGAATATAAATAAATATTATGTTAATAATTTTTTATAAAAAATCAATAAAGAAGATTTGATCAACTCCATCAGATACCATCAGCTAAAAACAATATTGAGACAGGTAATTAAAAAGTATATTAAATTGAAATATTTTTCTTTTGCAGTAGAGATGGCCAAGTCATCATGGAAAAATCTGTGATTGCTTTATGAGGGAACATAAAAACTATAGAGCCAGGGATTCAGTATACCAATTTGAAAAAAACAAATCCTGTTATATCTAAAATTGATAAAGAATGCTAGAGCAATGTATGAGGAGTGGTAATGTAAATTATCAATATGAAGATGGTAAATATACTAATTTTTCTTAAGATTCCATTGAAATCCCCTGCATAGAGACAAGTAGTGAAGCTACAATTTTAAGGAATGATTGTAATCATATTTTATATAAATAATATTAATATATTTAGCATCACTATCAACTAGTATAGGATCAAATTTATCTTGCAAAAAATTAATTAAAAAGAGGGATATTGATCTAGGTAATTTGCATCATTTGTAAATATATTTATAATTTTAAACTAGATCTATTTGAGAAAATTCTTGAAATAGAAAAAATAAAAGAAAATAAATTATCAACAAACTCTTGGATCAATGTTATGCTTAAACAAACCTTTGCAAAAAAATTTGAAAGTGGAAAGAAAAAACTCATTAAAATTATTTTTAATTTATTGTTAAATTATGAAAGATCATGAATAAAAAATATTATATTGCATTGTTATTATTTCTTTGAAGAGCTTTTATATTATTTTAATCATATTTAAGACACATATAATAAATAAACTTTCTTTTTATTAAATAATTACAAATCAATATAAAAAAAATAGAGTAATATTTTTTAAATTTATAAATTATAAAGCTATAATTTATTTCTATAAAAATATTCAGAAAAGGCATCTCTAATATTTTTAGAAACCTTTGAGGGTTTTTTTATTGAGGATTCCATAAATAATTATTTTGTTTAGGATCTTGAGTATCCTTGGGGTGGAGATCTATGTTTTTTTTATCAATAACTAAGTTTTTATAATTGTTTTGCTATTGGTGACATTGGTATCCAAGACTCGATTAAGAATACACCATTTAGATGACAATATGCCAAAGGTGCATTCCACCATTCTTCTGGCCCTTGAAAGGCAATGGATAGTTACATCCTGTAATATTTAAGCTATTTTGATTATATAAAATAAAATTAATATAAACTTATCAATATTTCTTCTACTGATGATTTTTAATAAAATTTGTTTTTTTTACCATTAGTTTTGATTTAATATAGGTTAAAGGTTTTAATAGGAATAATTTTAAAGTTGTATAGATACCTTTTTTTTTAAAAATAAAAATATGCTTGTCACAACTACTATGAATGCTATGTCGCTTACGACATATCAGCTGCTCTGTCGTTTAATGTCGTGTTGTGTTTGTCGTATCGCTGTCGCTCTCTACTATGAATGCACCCTAACTCAATTAGTTCCGGGGATATGGCGGGAAAAATAAAAAGTGGTGTCCTTACTAATTCGTAAAAACTATTAAAGATTACTCAAAATATATAAAATCCTACATTTGGTATATTTAGATAGCCCTTGAATCCATTTTTTAATAATTTAATTTTTTTTTAAAAATTTCAGGTGTTTCATTTCTGGAAAAGGTAAAGGTTGATATTTTAATGTACTTGGGCATAAAATTGTCCAAAAATGACCATTATTTTTTCAGTTATTAAATATTTTCCAATACCATATTGAATTATTATTTTTAAATATAATTTTAAAAAACAACATTTGCTCTAAAATAAAATATCATTATTTAGTCATTGATCTCCATTTGGGTTTTTAAAAAGTCTATGAATGTAAGCGTGTAAGTACGCCTTGCTGCTTGATATTATACAATTTCTAAAATATTATTGACAGGGGATATTATATTTATCTTCATTATGTAGAAAATGAATTATGAAGAGGGTCCATGTGGATGCAGAAAACTAATTAGCACTTCTTCGGCTATTTAATTTTCATCTACAACAACCGCCGCACACCAAAAGTTATCGTAGAAACATATTACATAGCCATTAAATATCATGAATTCTAAATCTCGTATCTTGAACTTTACTTTCTAGAGCATTTGAATAAATTTTTGGTTCACTAGTTCTCAGATCTAGTAGAATAATTGCTTGTATCTTTGTGGACAGTTATTGCGCGTTTTATTAAACCTTTTACCAATATAATTTATTCTCGAATGAAGATAAATTGTTCAAAAGATTTAGTAAAGCACGCGCAATAAAACATGCGGTTATTCCATTAGGTCTGAGAACCATTAATACAAAAATTCAGAGTTGTTACTATATTTTTTTAAAAACACAGCGGAAGCTAGCTCCTATTAGGGCTGGAGAGGAGGAGCGCCGCTCCACCTCTATAATATTTATTAATTAAAATTCAATAAAAATGAAATTTTATTTAATTTAAATTTATCCATTATTAAATGTTGAGCCGAATTTTTTATTGGTTTTTCATCTAATCATTTTAAATATTAAATATCAAGTTTTTCCTTTTTATATTAAAAATTTTTTGGAAAATCTTGTAAGTCATATTAATATTCATTTTATAGATATATAATAAAAAATGGCTTCGATATTATGGATTTAGAGATCATAGAAGAAGAAATCGAATTTCCATTTCTATCATACAAAAAATATTTTAAACTTCTAAAAGATGTTGATTCAAATGATCAAACAAATTTAAGGGCAAAATGCCTTTTGTGTTTAAATAAAAGTCATTTTCAAAAGTGAGCAGCTTCAATCTAAAAAAGCATCTAAAAGTAAAAAATCTTTCTTTTAAATACAAAATGATAACTATATTTTTTTAAAAATGGTTATAATTATTTTTTGGCAATTATTATAGTTAAGATTGGGTTGCTAGATATGATGCTTTTTTAAATATATTTTAATATTTATTTAATTTTCTAATTACTTGTTCAACCTCCTTATTTTATACATTTTTTTTCTAAACTTAATTAAAGTATTTTTATTTCATATAAACGTGGTTACTTTACTTAATTGAATTGTAACATCCAAATTAAAAAAATACATTTTATTATGTTAATCAATTTATATTTTATTTAGTCTTAATTTAATTTTTTTCTTATTTTATTTTCATCAACTATTTAACGTTTTATTTTAACAATATAGAAACTTGAAAAATAATTATTTTTATATTAATCAGTAAAACAAAATAATAAAAAAAACTTACAAATAAAAAAAATAAAATGCCTAAAAATGATTTTTTAACTGCCCATTAAATATTTGTCCATTTCCTATAAAAAAATCTAAGCCCACCCATCCAATGTTTAAAAAAAATTTAACCCGCCCGCTCAGCCCGCCCAAGAGTATAGCCAAGTAAATATTAAAATAATCGTTATCTTCGTGAAATAAATAAATTTTAGGTTATGGAGCCTTTGAAAAAAATCTAAAAATTCTTGAAGGGGAGCTTCATATGGATATGGCTACAACCATTTCTAAACTTATTTCAAAATTAAGAGACTTGGCAGATTTAGAGTTTTGCCAACCTCTTGTAAAGTCTCTTATAAGCGGTATTAATAAATGGTTTATAGTAAAAAATAAATTATATCTATTTAAATAGCTTTATTGCAGATTTTCAAATGTTTATTGTTAAGTAGTTGTAATTTATAATTCTCCTTTAAACTACTTGTTTTGTTTTGGTAATGACATTTAAAATTTAAATTGTTTTTCTTTTTTTACTTGTTTTTATTATGGTAATTACATTCAAAATTTAAATTGTTTTTCTTTTTTTTTTGAACTACACTAATTCTAATTGTGAATGACATTATATTAGTTACAAATTTTATTATAAAAAGATCGATTTTCATTTTATATTTGCGGTGTAAAATTAAATCGATTCGTAAAAAAAAAAAAATAATTTTCGTAATTTCGCAATTCTCAGAAGCACCAATCGCTCAGAAGTTAACATGTGGGCAGTCCGCTACATATTCGAGGGAATCGTAAATAAATAAATATGAAACAGATTCCCAACAATAATGTTAATATAAATATTAAATTTCCGATATACTCAGGCAAAGGCGATCTTTTTTTAAGTAGATTCGAAGACATTTTCAAAGGACACTGATATCTCAGACATCGAAGGTTGAATCCTTCATAAGAAGACTACCAGACGAAGTATATATCAAGCTCAAATCGATATGTTCACCTACCGACTTCATTAATCCATCGATATTGATTGAAAAATTTAGGTTATTATAGTGCGCACAAATTGAGCGTTGCAACGCTCCGTTTTAAAAGCTAATAATACATTTTAGATGGTATTGTGCAAATTGGATTTTTTTACTGCAAGCGTTAGTTTGATTTTTTTTATGCTTTTTTAATTTTGCGCTAAAATTTGAAAATGGATACAAAATTGTAAGTAAAATTTATCTCATATATTTATTGATATTATATCATTTATAATATATTAATTGATATTTATATAATTTTAGAATATATTAATTTATATTTTAGATAATTTTAGAATATATTAACTGATATTATTATTAGAATAGGTTTTAATGGTTTATCAACCATTAGTTTAAGGTAAATGTATATATGAACAGTGATAAATTATATTTTTATTAGCATGGAGATGGAGTTTCCATAATGATACAACTGTATCATGCTTAAAGAAGTAGTTGAATTTGAATATAAAGCAATGATAAATGACAGAAAAACTACTGACAATTTTAGTCCTAAAGAAACTACACCAAAGGCTACTGGTTCAAAAATAAATGCACTCATGGGTAAAAGACTTTTGGCTCTTTTGGAAAGGGTGTCATCTGAAAGCCAGTAAAATACATATTTTTATCTATAAATTTAATATTATTTTAGATTGTATCCACGATCAATGGCAGAAGGCTTGGAAAGTATAAGTCATTCATATAAATACTTTTTCAATTGTGAAGTATCAAGATTGTATCATACTTTGATGGAGCAATCAAAGGATCAAAATACTACATTATCACCAACAAATTCAACAGAAACAACTTTAAATCAAACATCAAATTTTATCTTAGTGTGTTTATTTTTGTAAATATGTTTATTTATATATATAATAAAGTAATATTTTATATTATAGTGTCCATTTTTGAAAAATATATATAAATAAGCAAACTACTCAAAATTTATTTAGCATTTTTATTAAAATATATAGATTATTATAAATATATTAAGGTAGGATAAACAAATAAATATTATAATAATCAAATTATGAAAGAATGAGATTAGTAAACAGTTATGAAAATCCAATAAGTAAAAATATAAGGGGTAACATGATTGAGAGAAGTGTACAATAAAGATTTAATAGTGTATATATATTATAAAATTTGACACAATAATTAATTGAGATCAAATTGAAGCCTTTCTAGGATTTTAATTCATTGACATATAATTTAGCCAATATTATCTTTATAAATTAAATATTATGAAAAGAATAATAGTGTTTGATTTTTTAAGATATTGACTATTAATATAGAAAACTTACTATGTTTTATTGAGCTAACAATATTTTATTTTGACATCACCTTATGTGATTGATCAATTAAATAAAATTTGGCAAAGCTTCTGGCTTCAAAATCTCATACAGATGGTATGATTATATTATTTTAATAAGATATTTATACTCTTACATGTTCTAGTGTACATTTTTATTATTAAAAAATTGAAAATGTAATTAAATTATTTTATTTGCATTATTTGTAAATTATAAGTATATGTTCTCCTCATCCTTGTATAATTAAAATAGCAATTAGTTGTTTATATTTTAAACTAAAGAAATCCATATTGTTTAATAAAAATTAAATCATGTTTCAATTTTAAAACAAGGAAAAAACGTATTCTTTCAATTTAAAAAAGATGCGTTGCGTTAAAAAACGCACTGCAAACGCAAACTCAATTTGTGCGCACTATTACATCCGAAAAAATCTACAAGTTAGATCTTATTATTATTTAAAGCAGCTGTACAAGGTAAAAATAGTTACATCAATTGGGTAAGTAGATTATGCATTTTAAAAAATGAGTGTTTACTAGATGATAGTAGAGTTATTGAAAAAGTAAAAATTTCGTCAATCAGCAAAAATATTAGGCAGAAAATTACGTTAAAAGAAAACATTACTAAGAGATGATTTTGAGGAGTTAGAATTAAAAGAAAATATAATTGCTAAAGTTGAAAATATTTCTTTAAACGAAAAAACTGAAGATGAAACAATCGTGAAACATTTAAAGGCAAAGAGGTAGGAAAACAGAAGAAAACAAGATGGTGAGATATGGAGACTATGACCAAAGACAAAATTTACAATCTAATTACGATAACAGACAACGATGGACAATTCTTTCTTTCTTTCTTTTAAGCAATTACTTTCAAAGAAATAATTACAACCCTAGATATTTTTTTTTACATCAAATATTCCTTTTATTACTACTATCAAATAAAATTATATTAAAATTAACATATCAAATATAAAATATAAAATAAAATAAAACATTATTTAAAAAAAACGGAGTGGGACTACAAGTTCCCAAAAAACATGAATAGTTATATTTTAAAATAGTTATTTGTAGATTTTGTTTTAAAAAATAGTATTCTTTTTGGTTCTGATGTAAGGGCTCTTATCTTATCGCCTATATTTTTTAAGAATTTTAAAGTTCCGCTTGGCATATGTCCAAAGGAAGAGATAACGAACGGTATAAAAATATAATTAGTGAATTTGGAATATTTCATTGTTTTTTTTTCTCGGCTATATAATATGAGTTATTACAATAACGTCAGGGAAAACAACCTAGGATCGTACAATAATTTTTCAAGATTTGATAATAGAACTAGTTATAATAACCATAGATTTAATAATGATTATAATTACAGATATAACAGACATTATAAGGATTCAAGATTTATTTAAAGACATAACAATAATCTTAATATTAGAAATCAAGGAAGAAATCAAGTATGTGATTGTAGGTATCATAACAACGATAATAGTCGATACACAAAGTGAACACTGTAAATATAGAAGAGATAAAAGAAGATGATAATGATAAATTAGAGAAAGAAGAATATAATTTATATAATTTGGACATAAACAATATGGATGCCGATAATGATAACACAGCTAATGATGCATATAAAGTTACAGTATATTTGAATGACGTGCCAATATTAATGGAGATAGACACTGTTCTAAGTTCAGCATCCTACAGATTCATATTGTAAGAAAGATTGGAATTAAAATGGACACAAAATTAACTGGATACGATGGAAAAATAATAAAAGTGTTAGGTACTGTCCAAGTCAAGGCAAAATTCGAGGACAAAACTCAAATCTTAAATGCTTATGTAGTCCAAAGTGACAAGATAGCACTTTTGGGAAGGACCTGGATTACAGTTTTTGGAAATATACTAGATAAATTTGTGAATTTAGTCGAGGAAGATTATGATAATACTATTCAAGAATTAATTAGTCAATGCAATTTAAAACTTAACAAAAAGCCAATACTTTGCAGCTATGTCAAATTACGTTTAAAACAAGATGCCACACCGAAAATCATACCACCAAGGCGTATACCATATTCTAGAATTGATTTGATAGCAAAAGAACTTCAAAAGTGGATAAACGACAAAGAACCTGTTGAAGATGTTAGATGGGCTAGTCCTCTCACTCCCGTTTTTAAGAGCGATGGCTCACTTCGGCTCTATGCTGACTTAAAAATACTATAAATCCTGCTTTAGAAGATTTTAAGTACCAAATACCGCGCGTCAATGATTTGATTGCAAAATTGTCTAAAGGCAAGAAATTTACAAAGATTGATTTAAAAAAAACATTTCTTCAAGTACCTATACACAAAGAATCTAGAGATTTTTGAGGGTGATGGTAAAGAGAAAGCCATTGCTTTCGCGTCAAGAGCATTATTAAAATCAGAGTTAAACTATACAAATATTGAAAGATAAGCTTTATCTGTTATATACGCGGTAAAAAAGTTTCAAGAATATTTAATTGGTTCGAGATTTATAATAATCACAGACCACAAGTCACTCGTTTATATATTTACGAAGGGACTCAAGGATAATTCTTCCATATCAATGCGACTCCAAAAATGGAGTTTGGCTATGGGGGCTCATGACTTTACGATAATTCATAGACCCGGGAAACGAAATGTAGTACCAGATTGTTTGTCAAGATTACCATAAACTAACACAAAAGAGATGGTACAAAAGACAGATGGTGAAATAATTGATGATAAATTATGGGGCATACCAATAAATTTTAAAAGAATAGTTAAAGAAACAAGTATTGATAAAGTGAATGAATTAAATCGAAATATATCGTCAAATTGAAATATCGTGATAAGTGACAAAGTTTGGTATAAAGCTTTCAAGGAAAACATTTGGGACAAAGGTACGGTAACATGTAAAGATGGGAATTTATCATATGAAATATATACTGGAAACAAAATTATAAAAAGACATTTAGACCAGATTAAAAAAAAGTTAAATAAATATTATACCGCTTAATAATGGTACAACAAATTTGGAAACAAATACTTTAAATTTTAGAAGGGGAAGAAGTGATGACCAGTACGAAATCAAAGTATACAAGTATAAGATCAGAGTCTTAACAGTCAAAGACCAATCAGAAATATAATATTGCCTAAAAAATTCGAAAATTTTATATGAATGTAAAAAAAACTTTCAATAGCTTATACTATATAAACAATATTTATTTTGTGGATCAAAACTAATGAAATATATTAATGATGTGATGACTAATGATAACTATCAAGATCAACCAAGGACAAACGAACAATAAATGATGAAGAAACCGGTAAGCAAGACAAACGATAAGATGTTAGACAGAGGGCAAAAACTTTTTTAAAAAAAGAGTTAAATGTTAAGTAGCTGTAATTTATAATTCTCCTTTAAACTACTTGTTTTGTTTTGGTAATGACATTCAAAATTTAAATTGTTTTTCTTTTTTTTTGAACTACACTAATTATAATTGTGAATGACATTATATTAGTTACAAATTTTATTATAAAAAGATCGAATTTCATTTTATATTTTTTGCAGTGTAAAATTAAATCGATTCGTAAATAAATCAAAAAATAATAATTCTCGTAACTTCGCAATTCTCAGAAGCACCAATCTCTCAGAAGTCAACATTTATTATGATATTATCATTGCAGCTATTGTCCATCCTGCATTCAAATTAAATTGGAAATGGATAAAAAATACACAAAATATGGAACTAAAATACAAATTGATTAATTTTTTAAGAAAACAAATACCTAATACAAAAATAGCTAATAGTTCACGGGGACCCTGCTATGATTTGGAAGATTTTTTTGGATTCCATGAAATTGATCATCAGGAAGATAATATGTTGGACAAATATTTTTTTAGATAATGACACCAAAATTACTATTTTGATAAATCCCTGAATTAAAAAATATCTTTATAAAATATAATACCCCACTTCCCTCTAGTGCTCCTGTGAAGGGCCTATTTAGCATTCCAAAACAGGTCTTAGGGGGTAGGCGTGGATGTTTGTTAGATTCTAATTTAGAAAACTTATTACTTTTAAAAGCTAATAAAAGATTATAAATATTGATAGATCATTTAATATAAATAAAACTTTTTGATAAAAAAATATGATTTTGTTTCGTGTGCCTTCTAAAAAAATGAAAGTCAAAGGAGAGGTTATGGAGTGCCACTCCATAATTTGGAGAGGGAGCTGGCTCCTTTTTAAAATGTAGTAGCGGGAGCGGGAGCTAGCTACTTTCAAAAAGGAGCGTTAACAACTCTGTAAAAATTTATTCATGCTCACGAAGGTAAAGTGAAAAATATTATTGATATTTATATGTGAAACATCAATACCAACTGTTGCAGATATGGTATGTTGACCAATAATGAGTTAAGAAATGGATTCAGGATTATCTAATGATACCAAATATAGCTCTCTATTATTTATATTTTAAGTAATCTCTATTTTTATCGGTTTTTGCAAATTAGGAAGAATGTCATATGTCATTTTTTAGCATTGAGCCGCCATATCTCCGGAACTAATTGAGTTAGAGCTTAAAAAATTAAATTGCATAGGTACTACATATATTATCATAATGCAAAGTTTCATTCAATTTGAAAGAGGTTCACGAAAATAACCTTTTTTGATTGATTTGTCATGGATGGCCTAAATGTGATTTGGTATTTGGTGAAATTTTGTTTTCAAACTAAGGTGCAAGTAAATATGACAATGTTCAAATTTTGCATCCTAACTAATTTGTTTTTGAATATATCAAAAGTCAAATATGAAAAATGACCTATTTTTACGCCTATCGAGTCATTCAATTAAAATTGACTAAAAACTCCTACATACTATCACTCCTCCCAGGGGGTCGTGAAAATGGTGATCGATTTGACATGGAATGACCTAAATACAACAATTAGAATTCAAGCTATAATTTATACCATAAAATCACCTTCAAAAGTATTGTACCTTATTTGAAAGTTTGGGTAACATAATTCAAAAACTTTGGTCCAGGTTAGTCCATGGCCCGTTGGCAAATTTTTAGATCTAAGCCAGGCGCGTGGCAACCCTTGGCACAGACTTTTAAAAAAGCATAGGAAAGAAATCTCAAACTCAAAATATTTATTATATTATCTATTTTATTATTATGCAATAAATTTAAATATTTAGCAATAACGTTGATAATTTGATGAATTTATCACAGAATATGATAAGAAAATGAATATCGAATTTATTTTAAATCTATTTTTTCAAATTTATTTTATAATGCAAAAGGGGAAGAAAATATAAAATTACCATATTTTCCGGCCACGAGTGGGGACTATATTTTATGATGTTACGGCAAGCTTTGCAGGACCCTAACATAAAGTATTATTTTAAATATAATATCTTTACATGTCAGGGGTTAACAATATCTTTTTATGTATGATATGCACCGTTACCACCCATTAGTAGATATAGAAACCACTGATAACAAAAATAATAATGTAGTATTATGAAGGTTAATTATCCTTGGTATCAGACATTGGTATTGGCTAAAATGGAATGTATAAGCAAAGAGCGAAACTGATTGATGCAGTGAGTTCGGCGCAACTGTTGTTATATTGTGTTTTTGTTTGAATCATAGAGGTTCCAAGAATTTTGTTAGTTAATGCAGAGAGTGGGAATATATTATATCACTTTTTAAAAACATGAGAGTAAAGAAATACTGAAAAAACAAATCTCGTACAACCCGCAACTGTGTTTTAAAATCGGTAAAAAATTATCATAAAAAAAATATTATTGCATTTGGAGAACTCTTAGTGAAAAGTCAATCAAATAAAATAAACTATACCTAAAATATCAGAATTAGTAGTCAAATACGATTTCGAAATCAGCGCAATAAGACTGTCTATCAAGCAATCATCGTAGACGTCGACATTTCCTTCACTCGCGTGTTCGCTATTATACTCCTCCCTACTATCTAAGGCTCTTACAGTGGGCTCATTATCTATATCACCATCACGTTCTTCTCGATATCCCCGAGGACTTCCTTTGAAAAGAGCTTTATCAGTAGCCGAAGAAGGGCAAACGAATGAATTGGAAGAAAGGTAAAGCAGGTTACAAAGTTTAAAGTAATCGGCGAGCAAATTAGTCGGGACCGGTTGCAAGTGACTTTTTGGAACTATGCCGCGTTGACCGTCACTTATTTTTTCGACCGATAAGAATTGGGTATTCAAATTGCTGTTGCCGCTTAGACCAAACAAAAAATCCCCAGCCGAAATCTCCATATTTCGGTGAGGAAGCCGTTCGGGAACGGGAGTGGGAATATTATCGAATTTTACAACGTAAATGGGAAGCAGATTATTTCTATTCGTGTCTGATTGATATGGATCATTAATAGTTTGAGCGATTGAGCTCGACATATCTGGAGGTTTCTGAACCGTAGTGGCATTCGCTTTAGAAAGTGATGTGTCTTGGGTGATAGGGGTGTTCAATTCTTGGTCTCGAGAGGCGATGTCATTTTGAACGATAGGCGATTCAGAGGGACAAGAATCAGCGCTGGTGAGACTGATTTGATGATTCCAAATAGGAATTCCTAAGTTAGGTAAGGAGGGCTTAACGTTGTTAATGGTTGTACTTACTGGAGCAACGATGAGGGGTTGAGAAGAAGAGGCCTGGGATATGGGTGGTGGCTGTAAAGTAGTATTCGAATTAAAACGAATACTTTGTTTGGTGTTTAAAGTATGAATCGCTTTTTCGTATTCCAAGTCCAATTTTTTGAGCTTTTCATCCGTCGTGTTCATATCCTTATTGGATTAAAATAAAATAATAATTTTGAGAAAATTTCATTAAAAAAATGTAAAAAATATATCATAATTATTTTCTATTTTTAATTTGAGGGAATTTTTTTATCAAAAAGAGGGTGCGTTTTATTAATCGATTACATTATTTTAAAGTGTTTTTGATATGTAATAATGGCTAATATTAAAAAACAATTAGGGTAATAATATGATTACAAAAAAAAGGGTTCAGTTATCATTTATATATTAGCCTTGCAGCTGAAAGGATAAAGTTATTAGCCGGATCATAAAAAGCTAAGTTAATAGTTATTTTCAGAGACCTGTAAGGCCCGTTCGTAAATTTTTTTAAAAAAATAATCCGGACGGGCTGTAAATTTAACAACGAATATTTTAAATCGCCTATTAGCTATAAAAATTAAAGTAATATATTTTTAAAAAATTCGAGCCAGGTCGAAAATTTTTTTTTTAAAATCGGGGCTAGACCTGAAAATATAAAATGCGAGCCGGGCCGAAAAATTTATTTTAAAAAAATCCGGCCGGTTGTGCAAATAGTACCTCTGCAGGTCACTGGTTATTTTACATAATACCATATTGCAAAATTTTTAATTCGCATTTTCGCATAAGCCAATATTACTGATTTAACAAATATGTTCATTTTCGCTCACTTTCATCTAATTGGCGAATAATTTACTTAATTAAATTCTCAGAGCAATCAATTTGTTTTTATTTTTTTTATGGATGGGTTCTATGAATATTTAGAACATCATTGGTTGGTTGATCATAAAAGAATTTAACTTAGGGCAAGCAGAGTGCAATGATTATAATATTGCATTTATAAAGAAATGTAAAATATAAAAAAAACGTTAATCAAAACATCCCAGGATTTGGATTCTTGATCGCTATCAGCAGCCTCGCTTAGATGGGAGGATTGGCCACTAAATTCTGATAAGTTTATTTCGTCTATACATAAAGGGTCATGCTCCATCGCTTATTTGAAATGTGTTAGTTGTTACAATGGTTCAATCGTAGTAAACGGATAATTTACGCCTATTTAATATAATTAGATAAAATACAATTGATATCATTTATTTATTGCTATTAAAATATAATCTCATAAGAATGTGATATTATAGCGTCAATGGAGTGGGGCACAAATTTAGAGCCTCCTCCCTCAAGATTAGATTTTTGGAAATGAATTTTCTTTTTAATGGTACTTTTAGATTTTTTCTAATTTTTTCTAAGTGAGCCCCCTACCTCTGTTGAAAAATCTAACGATGTCACGGATGGGGTAACTCTCCTCTTAGCTTAGTCTAACCGCTTAATTAAGATCAACATAGCCAATAAAAATATAAAATAATATCAAAATAATAAAGTATATAAGAAAGATTATATTACAAAATTTAATATAGAAGATGGTTGAGCGGGAAGAACGCTTGCCTTTAAATCGTTAAGTCATGGGTTCGAATCCCGTTACATACAAAAAATTTTCTTAAAATTTAACATTAGAGAGATATAGTCTCCATCGATTTATTTAACATTAAGAAGATAGGAAAGTTGATGAGAAAAATAAAAATTAACATTAAGGATATACGAAAACGTTCATTTCTTGATTACGGTGATTATGTATATAGATAAATATTACCAAAAATGTTTCTTTTTAAAATAAAATCAATTCATTTTATTTAAATCGATTTTTATCGATTAATTTACTTATTTTTTTATTATTTTTATTTTATATATACTAAAAAAATATAAAAATTGGTTCTTTTTTTAATTTTCCTTTTATCCTTCATTTTTATTTATCCAAAAATATAGGAACGATGATAATTAAACATTATTAATCGGATAAGCGAGAACAAGAATAAGATCTTATTTATTCGATAAAATAACTATATTTGCGTAAAAATTTAATATAATACTTAATAAATTCCAAAACTAATTATCAGTTCATTAATTATGTCAGGGAAATATAATAAGCTTATCTTAATTATCCCTATTGCTCCAGCCTTTATATATTATATTTTATTTATTAAAAATTTGTTCCTCATTTTTATTTGGAATTGTGGCCGAAACGCAGGGAACAGGATAGGAAAAATTTTAATTTTTTTTTAAACCTTGTATTTTTAAAAAATTTAAGTTTATCATATTTTGATGAGAAAAATTGGCAAGGAAACCAGTGATCATGATCCTGGTCCACTAATCTATACATTCAATAAATTGATTTCGATAATGTTTTATCGAGTTTAAAGCTAAGCATTATATAACTTCTTAAATATTTTATTATTTATTTTTCTTCTTTCCAATCGTCAAAAAAAGAAACGCAATATAAGTGGTTTGCAATCTTTTTGTATAATTTTTCTTTCTTTATTTTTTTCCAATATTTTCCACATAATTTATAGGGGAAAAGAAAGCTATCTATGGCTAAGTAATTATCTCGATAAAAAAAAAATTTGGCAAATAGTTGTGGTTAATGCGATGAAATTTTTTTTTAAGAGATAATATCGATTTTTCAGTTTTATATTTATTCATTGAAAAAAAAACTATAGTAGCCCTGTAGAGTAATGTCAAAAAAAAAAGTCTGATGTTAAAGTAATAGATGCATATGAAAGTAAAATTAACAGAAGTTTATATTTTGGTAAGTAACTTTAGCTAATACCTAGGTAGATTTTTTTAAAACGTAACACCAAATTAACTAGTTAATTTTTAAACTTTTGATTATAATTTCCACATTTTTGTTTAACCATTTTAAATTGGCATTATAATTTTGTATACTGATTTTATAGAGCTCTATAATTGTAATATGTATATATAAGTCAATTTATAACAGGGATGTGAACCCGAACCCGGACCCCCTCTGGACCCTCGTATTTTGGCGAACCCGAACCCGGCTCTTTTTAAAAGTGGAGGGTCCAAGGGTTCTAGGTGTCATAAAAAATTTTAAAAACAAAAATATTTTTTTAAAAAATAATTTAAATTTTATTAACTTTTTTTGTGAAATCATTTATTTTATCTTCGCGTATTTCTTTAAAATTTCTTCCTGAACTTCCATTTTATTTAGAGATTGATATCATAATTTTCCAGTGTATAATATTTTATTATGTAAATTTATTAATAAGCTATGTTATAGAAATACGTTGATTATTTTGAAAGTGAATTATTTTTTAGTACAAGTAATAATATTTTAATATAAATGATAATGCACAACACGTTGGTTCTCAATTTGTATGATGCTAGAACGATTATTAAGTTTGAAAGATTTCTGTAATGATTTTATTATAGGAGCATGTGAAGTCATTTTGTCGGGAGATGATTGGTGCCAAATAAAGGACCTTAATAGTGTATTAGTTCCTTTAAAAATAACAATATTAAGATAATAGAACAATTATGTTTATTTGATTTTAAGGCATATGGATTGATTAGATGCCGATTAGATTTAGAAAAATTTACAGTCCTTTTTATACGATATATTAGAAAACATGAAAATTCGAGAGCAACAATATTTGCAAAATAGTGTTGTATACGCTTCTATATATTTACCCTCGATATCAAGTTTTATTGAGTATTTAGCAAAAACAAATGGCTAAAGACCATCTAAAGGATTTATGGCATAAGCAAAAGTCCTTTATTTACAATATATTGAAGGCTACGACAATACTATTGGTTGTAGTGATAATAATAATAATGATAGTAACATTGATGATCTTGAAATTTTACTTTTAGATAGAGAAAAAAAAATCAAATTATCATCAGATAGAAATAAGGATCAAAAAATGCCAAAGTTCTCAGAAGTTAAGAGAATAAATAAGGATATAAATATTTTAAAATTCTAGGAAGAAATTTCTTCAATATATCCAGAATTATAAATCTTATCTAGAATCTTCATGTATGTACCGGCGACCAAGTACAATAATTTTATAAGATAACTATCTATTTTAGGTAAGGATAGAACGTGAATTTTCATCTTTGAAATATATATTGTCTACTTTATGTGGAAATCTCAAGGATGATATTTTAGAAGATATTGTTCACATCCCTGATTTATAATTAATGTTCATATAATATTAGATTATTGATAAAGGTTAGTCATTTGGGCTAAAATTTTTCCGTGAAAGACAGTGAATATTGAATAATACAATAAGATATTAGACGAAAACATTTTCTTATTTAATTTATAAGCTACCTCAATATCTTAACCCTAGGATTAGGCCACATCTCCTTTATCTAATTTTGATAAAATCAAACAAAACCCTTGAATTCACCCAGGACTTAGCCTATAACTAGTTAGTTCCGTTAAAATTAAGCAAAACATTTATTGTTTAACCAGGGGTTCGAACCGAACCTGAAGAAGAAAACCCGGGTTTTGGGGGAAAAAATTTGAACCCGAATCGAACCTGAACCCCGTTTATAAAACTTTCAAAACCCCGAAACGAATCTGGCAACCGGGTTCAGTGTATTGTTTAAATTAATATATGAAATTTGTATAATTGTAAATACAAATATTAATAATTTACAATATTTCCAAATTTCCAATTAAGTGAAGTGTTAATAAATTTTAAACAACTTAATTCATTTACTCCATTTTTAAATTTTTTAAAATTTATTCTCAAAGATTCCTATTGGATTTTTAATAAATTTTAAACAATTAAATTCATTTACGCCATTTATTTTTAATTTTTAACTTATTCTCAAAGATTATTAATTAGAGGAAAATGAAAGTGAACAAGTCAAAGTACAAATTATATTGGATATTGTTAATTTAAAGAAATATGTCTAAATAAAAATTTTTAAATCTAGACATGACTATGCTCTGTATTTTTAACTATATTTTGCCTATAAATAAAATAAAAAATTTATTTTTTATACCAAATTTATGTCTAGTTTTCAATTATGATTTAAATATAGATTATTTGTCTTATCAATTAAAAAATTCTTAAACCCGAGCTAAACCCGGAACCAAACCCGGGTTCAAAAATATTTCCCTGAACCAAACCGAACCCGGGCAAAAATTTTGCCGGGTTCGCATCCCTGAATGTAACCCAATAACTAATTTATTGTACTCAGGCATTAGTCCGTATAGTTTAATCAGGCAAAATATTTATATTTATTGATATATTTTCTATTGGCCTTTACCGAATTGGGTCAAAATTTATTCATTTATAAAACACAGTAGGATTTTGCTATAAATAAAGTGAAACATCAAAATATATTTTTTTACGTGGTCCTCCTGAATCAGAGGTTTACCAATATCAAGTATAGGACTGATATTGATAATCTTTATCGATCACACTTAATTTTTCTAATTTTTTATTATTTTGAATCCCCTTTTTCTTAATGGGATAACAAAAGTAATATGTTTAGAGGTATATACGACTTTACCTTTTAAAGTCCGATTCGATTTTGCCGATAATTTGATATTGACCGATCATCAGTATCCAATTTTATTAAAAACATTATAAGAAAATTATATAAAATAATAAAAAATATATAAATGTACTAATAAAGTAAATGAGCTATTCTATTTTTAAAAGAATGATTACCATGCATTTTTATTAATTTATACCATATAATAATTAGTGTTGTTAAACGGCTCGTTTATAGCCGATTTTTAAAAGCGACTAACTCAATATTTTAGCCAGTAAAATATTGCCTAAGCCTCGAGAAATAATAACATATATAAATAGAATGATATCAAACTGATTCTCTTAAAAAGACCAGTCCATTCAATTATTCCTATTAAGTTAATAATTTAATAAGGCCGGTAAAGGTTTATAAGCAACTATTGGAAATTAATATATTTATTTAATAAATATACTTGAATATAAATAAAACAAAATTAATATATAATTTAAAACTAAACTGAATTTTTATTCTTAAACCTATGGCCAAAGCGTGCTTAAATTTAAAAACTTTAGATTAAAAAAGTATGTATGGGGCCAATACTTAGCCTAAGTATCGTTTAAAAGTGAGGTATCAGTACACTTATGATAAAAATAAACTTACTGAAATTTATGATAAGTTCCATGATTTAGCACCTTAGAAAAAAGGAATATTTAAGAAAGATCAAAATTCATTGTTTAAAAAAGACAATATTTGAAATTTCAAGTAATCTAATTAATATTGAGTCCATAAATATCCAAAAAAAATGCGTAGATACTTTACAAAATGTAAATATGAGTTAAAATATCTTGTGTAGTTGTAGTAATAGCACAATCTACAATAAATATTTAATACCTGTATATATAAAATTATCATTTTTTTATTTAATGTTTTACTTTTATTCCGAAATGGATATAAATAGGTAAGCATTGTATTTTTATAGCAACTGAAACTGATACTATAAGTTTAGTATTTCCACCAAAGACGAATAACGATAAAACCACCTGAACATTGAGATGTACAATCCCGCCATATCAATTCCGATATACCCTAGTATATGGGAGGAAATGTTCATATTGAAAAGATGGGAGCTGTTCGAACGTAAGCTAAAGAATATATTTATGATCTGACTATGTTTGAATCGGAAAATATTAATTTGGTTGCCAAAAAGTTTTAAGGACTTATGTTTTGCTAAAATTAAAACGATATGCGTTAAAAATTTTAAACCGCAGTGCACGATATTCGTCTCTAGACTTGAATTTATTCAATTGAGGCTAAATTATGAAACAATAACTGGATAGCAAGTAAGTTTCCATTAATGGCCAGATCGTGCAAATATACCGACTATATTGACGAAAGTCTCCAATGATCAATTGGTTGTATAGGCAATACCAAATCTTTGATTTAAAGGAAAAGTTCTCTTCAGGCCTGGGTAAAGATAACCCTAATTTATTCAATTATATTTTATATCTAGTTATTGCGATAGAAATACCTAAGAAGGAAATGGTTAACAAAGTGATAAATAAAGTAAGTCAAAATATGACCGAAAAAAACTGCAGAATAATAACTTCCAGAAAAATGTTAAAAACTATAAGAAATACAATTATGAGAATAAAAGATTACTAACAAATGCCAAAGTACGACAATGATCACCAGAGTTTTACATCGGGAGGGTTAAATATATTTTTTAAAATAAAGGGCCAGTAGACGGGAAGTGAATTTGAAATATTTTTCGGGTGAAATGAACAGACCGAGTCTAAATTTATTAAAAACTATTCATTTTTTATTTTATAATATTGCATATTTTATAAGTTTATGTAAAAATATATTATAATAAAATAAATAGAGCAAAACCAACCAATAGCATTGGGAGGGCAGGCGTGTTAGTTAAATTTTTTAGATAAATGGGCGGGTAATTTTTTTAAACCATAAGCGAGCTTTCAGATAAAAAAAAAACTTTCTCATTACAATGAGCACCCTCTTGAATCATCTGTTTGCAATAAACTAGACATATGTCTTGAGCGGTGATGCCAGAGATTTACATTTGGGTTAATGGGAGGATGACTTGAAAAATTTAATCGAGCGAGGCTTCAAGTCAAAATATTATTAGTAAAAAGTGTCTCCCCATGGACAGGGTGGCTGGACAAATGATCAGAGAGAATATTTGATGCAGTTGCAATGTATCAATTCCCTGAACGTTGGAAAAGGAGAGCTTAGACTTCTATTTTAATATATAACATTCTGAGAGAAGAGGAGAAAATTAATATAGTATTTCAGCTAATCATATTGGTCTATGTACGAAACTGTAATTTGTTAGGGCGGTACCGATATTAAATTTAGGATCGGCATCGATAATTCGTTATCAAAAAACATCGAACTGATCGATTTTTTTGCTTATTTTATGATTTTATAAATTTCATAGTAAATGAATGAATGTTCATTTATTGTAATGTTTAAAAAATAGTCACAAATTTTATATTATTTTTTGTTATATTATCTGCAACAAGAAAAATATCATAAAATATCTAACAAGTCACATTTAGCTAGTGTTGTTAAAAGTCTCAATTTAACCAATTTTAAAAACGGTTAATTCAAGATTTTGTCCAAAAGTAAATACTAAGGCTTATTGATTGTCAGAATTGTTTAGAACTCTATTGGCTAAATTTCGAGACTTAAGTAATAATATATTGGCTAAATTTTAATTTCGTTCTTTTTAAAAATTGGCTAAATAGAGCTATTTAACAACTTTATAAACCCATAAACATTGCAAATATTTTAAATGAGATTATTAACTTTCGGAGAATTGAAAAAAACAAATTACACTTAATCAATCGCGAAAGTTAGTTGATTTTTTTATAAAATAGGAAATATTGATATTTTATGACATTGGTTCAAACATAGATGGTAAATAAAAATTAATATGAATATCGGATGGGTATCGGCTTTTTAGTAATATCGGATGGGTAAATTTGTGGATCGGCACAGCCCTATAATTTGTAATTAGCAAACATATTGTAATATCTATATAAACTATTTCTATCTTTTACATTTAAAATTTACAAATCATAGTTTATTATTTATGTTAAATTTTTATTATTATATTTCGTATGATTTTCGCAAAATATTATTACTTAAACCTAGAAATTTGGATAATAGAAATCTAAACCTCTCTGTAATCTGTGGGCAAAATCAATGCGAGGGTAATTTATTTTTGGCCAAAATCTAAACGTTTATAAAAATTTGCTAAATCGAGCCGTTTAACAGCACTAGCTAAATGTGACTCGTTATATATTTTAATTTTCTTGTCAGATAATATAACAAAAAATAGTATAATTTTTAATTATTTTTTTAAACATTACAACAAATAAATTTTATTTTATTTCCTTATTAATTTATTATTAAGACATTATTTATTTCTTCGGTGTTGATCCAATTTGATATTTAATATCGGCACATTAAAAAAAATCGAAAGTTAATAACTTTCAAAAATTTTATGAAATCATATTTAATTTTAGAAATTTTCTAGAATTATGCGTTAGGCATGTTTTTATTTTTATATTTAAAATAGCTTATTTATCTATTTTAATTAAATTGGATTGGAATTTTAATTTTTGATGTTTTGGATATAGCCTTATATAAATCATATAAATGAGGAGTAAATAAGTTTTAAAACTTTACTATATTAATTTATTTAGAAGATATATATTATATAGAACTCATTGTTCTCATATATAGATATTGTATATTAGTATATAGAACATTTGATTTTAATAAGGGCTGTGCCGATCCAAAAAATTTTCTCCTATCGGATATTAGTAAAAAATCGATCCGATAATAATATTGATTTTTATTTACCATTTATCTTTGAACTAATGTCATAAAAATTCAATATTTTCTATTCAAAAAACAAACCCACTTTCAGGAATTTTATATCCTTTAAAGGTTTATCATCTCATTTAAAATATGTGTAATTGGCAGAATAGTGTTATTAAATAGCTCGATTTTTAAAAACAGCTAAATTAAGATTTTTACGAGAATTTTATTACACAAGCCTTATAATAATAAATGTCCAAACCTTTCTGTCAGCAAAATCTCAAGCTAGATTTTTGATTAAATCTTGAGTTAGCTGTTTAAAAACATTAGTTTAATATATCTCGTTAGATATTTTAAAATCATTTTCTTAGGTAATGATATATGACGTTAGACCACTTGCTAAACAACCAAAATTTATTCAAATTCAATAAGACCCATTTTTTGTAATATCGATGAAGTCACGTGGTCGAGTCGTAATTCCATGACAAATCGACCAATGATTCGGCCGACCATCTCAAAAATGAATGAAACTTTGCATGTTAGTTATTTATGTTGTAAATGTTAAGAAAATCAAAATTTTAGAGTGCTAGCTCAACCAGATCCAAAGATATACGCCTTCAAAGTCGAAAGTCGCGAAGTGCGTGATTTTGCGTGATTTCTTTAAATCGTGTTTTTTTAAAAAATACTTACGATAGAGTTACAATTTATATATCATTCTATAGCCCTTAAAATTTTACGTTGGAAAATATTAAAAAACATTAAAAAATTTCAAGTGTTTTCTTATTTCCGGTAAAAATAAAAAATTAACATTGTTAGGAAGGGATAATTTTTGGGTGTTAATATTCGCTAAAAATGTTTATTACCTTTATATTAAACGATTTAATAAAAAATCTAGAGAGCCATTTTTGTTTTTTAATTTTATTTAAATTTTTATTGTTTTTATAAATAAAAAAATGTAATATAGATGGCGTTATATTAAAATATATTTATAATATATAATTTTTAATAAAATATGAATAGTATTGTGATTAAAATTAAAAAAATCAATCGAGTATAACCAAGAATGATGTCCTGGGGCGATATGTAAGCAGGCAGCCCATACAGATATTATTTGATTGACGCTATATTGTAAAATAAACATATTTTAAAATTTTATTCAAACTATTATAAATTTGCGCTTATCAATAGAAATTCATAAAGTTATAATTTGTAGATATATACTTTCATTTTTGTGGATCTACTATCGTTATTATTTGAAATTAAAGATTTTATCAAATTATTTTATTTTTTTTATTCTTTTCTTTCTATTACATTTTTTAATCGATAAATAGAAAATTTAATTATCAATCAATGATTGAAAAAAACATAAGGTCTAAAATAATAATCTTTTTAACTTTAAATCTTTTTTTTAATTTGGCATTAAAAATTGTAATAATGAAGTTGCTTTGTACCAATCCTTTTTTTTAGAGGGCCACAAATCTATTTCAAAAAATCTACATAAGGTAAGTTTATTTAGATTCACTAACATGACGTTATTGCAGTACATTTATACCAGACTAAAATGATAAAGTTTTTGACCAATCAATTCAACAAAAAGCCAAGCAAAATATATTACTGCTCCGACGGATCAGCTGCGCAATATAAAAACAGAAAAAATTTTATAAATCTGTGTTATCGTGAATCAGATTTTGGTGTAGCAGCTGAATGGAATTTTTCAGCTACATCCCATGGAAAAGGTCCATGTGACAGCTTGCGGAACATTAAAAAGATTAGCAGCAAGTTCAAGCCTTCAGCGCATCAGTTCTGGCCACATTTTAACGCCAATTGATTTATATCAATTTGCAAAACAAAACATGCCATCAGCAAATTTTACGTATATAACAAAAGAACAATACAATTTGTAAGAGATTAAACTTCAGAAAGATTCAGTTTAGCACGTCCCATTCCACCTTTGAGTTTAAGTAAGCTTGAATCAAAAATATATTCATGTGCAGAGGACTTTCAAATTAACAGTATCTCAAATGCTGATAATTTGCCTTTTGCCGATAATTTGTTTTTTGCCGATATTAAAGGATTCGTAACATGTGCTTATGACGATTTTTGGTGGTTAGCCACAGCACTAAAAAAGAATGAAATTACGGAGGAGATATATATATCCTTTTTACATCTCCATGGACCATCACCATCCTTCTTTTACCCCACAATTGAGGAAAAGATATGGTTACCCATTAATCAAATAACGATAGTAGATCCTACTACAGTGACAGGACGTACCTACAAATTATCATCTCAAGAAATTCTATTAATAAGAACAAAATGGGATAAGATTAAAACAAGAGGTATTTTTTTTTGTAATTGTTTGTGTATAAAATTTTAAAATATGTTTATTTTACAATATAGCATCCAAATAAAATAATATCTGTATAAGCTGCCTGCTTACATATCGCCCCAGGACATCATGCTAGGTTATACTCAATTGATTTTTCAATTTTAATCACAATACTATTCATATTTTTATTAAAAATTGTATATTATAAAAATATTTTACTATAACGCCATCTATATTACATTTTTTTATTTATTAAAAATAATAAAAATTCAAATTAAATTAAAAAAAACAAAATTGGCTATCGAGATTTTTTATTAAATAGTTTAATATAAAGGTAATAAACATTTTTAGAGAATATTATCACCCAAAAAAAATCCCTTCCTAACAATGTTAATTTTTTATTTTTACCGGATATAAGAAAACACTTGAAATTTTTTAATTTTTTTTTATATTTTCCAACGTAAAATTTTAAGGGCTATAGAATGATATATAAATTGTAACTCTATCTTAAGTATTTTTTAAAAAAACACGATTTAAAGAAATCACGCAAAATCACGCACTTCGCGATTTTCGACTTTGAAGGCGTATATCTTTGGATCTGGTTGAGGTAGCACTCTAAAATATTGATTTTATTAACATTTACAACATAAATAACTAACATGCAAAGTTTCATTCATTTTTGAGATGGTCGGCCTAAAATCTCGTTTTTTTGGTCGATTTGACGTGGAATCACCCATATATCATGTTCACTGGAACCACCAAGTTGGCTTAAGAAAAAAAACAAGCCCCTTGCTGGATTTGAAACCAGAACCATTGAATTGTGATATACATACTGAAACGACTACGCCATATATGCTTCTCAAAATCATCAACTTTTTTCTTATATAAGGAGAAAATAGCACTATCTAATATTTTAATAAAACACATAAATAATCAATAACGTTACACTCTGCATCATTAACCCATTTTCTTATTGCAGATATAACAAAAAATTTTAATTTATAGCTACTCTATCTTTTAAATTAATTCAATTTTTTTAAATGTATTTAGTTCCTTTTATGAATTTAATATTATTATAAAATCATTTATAAAATAATAGATATTACTGAAATATAAAATTAAAATATTAATTGTAATTTAATGACCGACCAGTGATTCGGGCGACCTTCTCAAAGATGAATAAAACTTGTCATGTTAGTTATTTATGTTGTAATGTTAATAATATCCAAATCTTAGAGAGCTCAACCAGATCCAAGGATATACGCCTTCAAAGTCGAATCGCTTTTTTAAAAAATAGATAGAGTTACAAATAATATATTATTTTATAGCCCTTAAATTTTTACATAGAAATTAAAAAATCTAGGTGAGGTAAAATAAAAAAATTAACATTGTTAGGAAGAGATATTTTTGGGTGTTAATATTCTCTAAAAATGTTTATAACCTTTATATTAAACTATTTAATAAAAAATCTCGATAGCCATTTTTGTTTTTTTAATTTTATTAAAATTTTTATTATTTTTATAAATAAAAAAAGATAATATAGATGGCGTTATATTAAAAATTTTATAATATAATATATTTAATAAAAATATGTATTTTATTGGTATTAAAATTTTAAAAATCGTTTGAGTATAATCAATATGATGTCCTGAGGCAATAAGTAAGGAAGCAGCCCACATGGATATGGTTATTAGAGCGCTAAATTTTAAAATAAACATATTTTAAAATTTTATAAAAAAATTACTTCTTGTTTTAATCTTCTATTTTGCGCTCATTAATAGAATTTCCTGAGGCGACAATTTGTAGATATGTCGATGTCAGGGTTGCCATGTCTCCCCCCATCAGTGGGAGTCTCCCACAATTTTTTAGTTTACCCACATACATCTCACTCCCACAAATAGAAATCTCCCACAAAAAGCTCCCACAATTTTTTTTTTTAGCATTTTAATGTTTTTATTATATAAATAATAATTTTGAGATACAATATTTGATTATTTTTATATTTTTAAAAAAAATTTTAAATATTTATTCGAAAAATATGTCTAGTTCTTTTATTTTATTTTTCCGCTCTAAAATGTATTTTTCATAAAATTCTCCAATTTTCCACTCGACATTTTCAAAATTTTTGTGTTAGAAAGAATAGAAGTTAGAACAATATGTATAATTATTATAAATATATTTTAAATTACTTAATATATTTTATATCGTTATCTAGAATTGCAGTGCTCCACTCGACATTTTCAAAATTTTTGTGTTAGAAGAATAGAACTTTTAGAAGTGGATATTATTCTAATCTCTAATTCTTTTAAATAAAGTTAGAGGATGAATAATATTGATTAAATAATATTTTTCACTACTTACTTTTATACTATTCCATAAAGTATATGTCAAGCAAAAGATTATAAATATAATTGATATATTATTCAACAATAGCTCAGTTATAACAAACGACAATCTACCAAATATTATACCTGCCATCGAGAGAATTTTAAAATTTTACGAACCCTTAAAGAAATTCTTCTTAAATAAAGATTTTAAAAGCTGTCCTAAAATTTTGAAAAATTTTTTCGAGGATGAAATGTCAGAAGCATATTTGGGATTAGTTTCACATGTAGGAAATCTACTTCATGTAGTTAATATTCAGTTGCAATCAGAAGATTCTTTATTGATAAAGATTCACAAAATCATGCTACAGCTCTGTTCATCTCTACAGTTAAAAATAGATAATAAATTTTATGGCGCTATTGCTAAAAATATTATATTAAAATGTTCAAATAATACTCTAATTAATACATTTTTAAATGAAGCAAATATTTTTATTAAGACAATTTTAGAATATTTACAATCAAAATTTGATTTTAATAACTCTATTTACAAATGTTTAAATATTATGACCTTGGAACAGAAACCATCATTTGATGGTTTTTGTAATTTAATAAATATATTAAAATTACCGATAGACATTGAAGCCTTGTTTGAAGAGATTGTAATTTTTTCCATTTTTTATGATTCGCCAGAATACTTAAAGTTAGATGGTCTAAAAGCAGAGGAGAAATGGGTGGAATTTTTTTGTAATAACGATAAATCCCCATGCTTGGAAAAAATTTGCGAGTATGTTTTCTCCTTACCTCATTCTAATGCCTCATCGGAGCGCATTTTTAGCCTGATGAGGACTGCCTGGAGAAAGGAGAGAAATCGAATTGCTTTAACAACATTAGAGGCCAAGTTAATGGTTAAACAAAATTATAAAATGTCATGCCAGGAATTTTATAAATATCTTAATAACGACGGTAAACGTTTAGTTCCATTATTAAAATCTCAAATAAAATATAATTAACTATAACTATTTGACTTTCTATATTTTATAAAATCTTATTTATACATTTGCATAAAATCAAATAAATTTATTTTTTACATTGTAAAATTAATATTTTGAATATTTTGGCAAATAATAAAAATAAAGAAGCATTACAATCTCCTCAAACATGACATCATATTAAATCTTATTAATAATTATCCGATAATAGTAATAATATTCTTACTTTGGTATTTCTGCAGCATAATTTAGTGAACCTTTATTAAATTATATTCTTCTGATTGCAACTGCATATTAACAGCATATAGTAGATTTCCTTTATGTAAAATTTCTAAATATACTTCTGCCATTTATTTTTGAAAATTTTTTCCAAAATATTAGGACAGCTTTTATAATTTATTTATTTTTTAAAGGTTTGTAAAATTTTAAAATTTTACGATGGCGCGTATTAGGAGGAACCTGTCAACCAACATTATGCTGAATCAATTCTGTAAATACACTGAGGAATTATCAGATCAGAAAGCTGCCATGCAATTCATTGGTAATGTCAAATCTGCCATATTTACCATTATATATGGTTAGCTATGTCTTTGGATATTTCATATCTGGAGAAAAATTTTTTAATAGTTTTATTGAAATGACATTAATTTTGTTGAAATAGGGGAGGATCAAGGGAAATGTTTTGATATTCTGTTAGAATTGCATATGTTTGCACATCTTTCAAATCGTCAAGAATTGACCTTCTGGATTTATATCCTAAAACATTGATGATAGCCTTGCTCATTTGTGTTCTACAAAGTATACTTTTCATTTATATTAGTCGTTAAATATTATGGGGAAAGATTCTACCAACATTGTGATGTTAAGTAGCTCTCTGAATGTTATACTGCATGATAGGTATTTACCATTTCCACAACTGTAGTTGCATCTGTATTATTTCTTATTTTTGAAGAATATTTTTGTTTTGCAATAGATGTTGATGGACTGCCCTGTACTGATTTATGCTTTGAAGATTTTTGATGCCTCAAAATATCATATTCCCTTCCCCCATTGTATTAACTAAATACTGTAGAACAACTTACCCGCACTGATTATATATTTTTTACATTGTAAATTTAAAATTGTTGGTTTTTTTATAAAATCTTATTTATACATTAATATAAAATATACTTTTTTACATTGTAAAATTACAATTTTTTAATAAAATTTTATCTTGTTTACATTCTTTTGTATTTAAAAAAGTTCGTTGGTTATTATTTTTAAACAAAATTAATATATTATAATAAATCTATTTTAATAATAAAGATAGTATTTAAGAAATTTTGTGTCGTACTATAATTACCTATTTTGAAAAATAGTTGCGTATTTTATTTTGGAAAATAGTTACCTATTTTATTTTGAAAAATAGTTGGCTATTTTATTTTGAAAAATAGTTGACTATTTTATTTTGAAAAATAGTTGGCTATTTTATTTTGAAAAATAATTACCTATTTTATTTTGGAAAATAGATTCGATTTTATATTTATAAAAAATAATAAGCGGATAACTAAGTCAATTCTAAATCCCGGCCCCGTAAAATTATTTTTTTAGCAATTTTCATATTTCTCCCACAATTTTTATATCCCACAAAATACCGAATTTCTCCCACAATTTGAAAATTTTGACCTGGCAACCCTGGTCGATGTTATTATTTGATTAATGGGCAACCATATCTTTTCCTTAATTGTAGGGTAAAATAAGGATGGTGATGGTCCATGGGGATGTAAAAAGGAACTATATATCTCCTCAGTAATTCATTTTTAGTACTGTGGCTAATCACCAAAAATTGTATAAATACATGTTACGAATCCTATTGGCTAAAGACAAATTATCGGCATTTGAGCTAATGTTTTGAAAGTCCTTTGTATATGAATATATTTTAAGTTTACTTAAATTCAAAGGAAATACAGCATGTATTTTTAAATCTATTTTAAATTGTATTATGTATAATTTACTGATGGCATGTTTTGTTTTGCAAATGATACAAATCAACTGGTGTTAAAATGTGTCTAAAACTGGCGCACTAAGCTTGAACAACTAATCTTTTTAATGTTCTGTCAATGCCGTCATATGGACCTTTATTATGGGATGTATCTCAAAAGGCCATTCAGCTGCTTCACCAAAATCGGATTCATGATAACACAGATTTATAAATTTTTTCCTGTTTTTATTGTGCAGCTAATCCATCAGAGCGGCAATATATTTTACCTGGCTTTTTGCTGAATTGATTGGTCAAAAAAATAACGATAGTAGATCCATAACAGTGTAAGGATATATCTACAAATAATGGCCTCAGGAATTTTTATTAATAAGCGCAAAATGGAATACGATAAAAATAAGAGATGTGTTTATAATAGTTTGAATATGATATTTTAAAATATGTTTATTTTACAATATAGTGTCCTAATAATCATCTTATCTCTATGGGCTGACTGCTTACATATCACACCAGGACATCATATTGGTTATACTCAATTGATTTTTTAATTTTAATAACAATACAATTCATATTATTAAAAATATTATATTATAAAAAAACTAATATAACGCCATCTATATTATCTTTTTTTATTCATATTATTAAAAAAATTAAACAAAAATGGCTATCGAGATTTTTTATTAAATAGTTTAATATAAAGTTAATAAACATTTTTAGAGAATATAAACACCCAAAAAAAATCCCTTCCTAAAAATGTTAATTTTTTATTTTGCCATAAATAAGAAAACAATTGCAATTTTTTAATATTTTTTGATATTTTCCAATGTAAAATTTTAAGGGCTATAAAATGATATAATATATATAACTCTATCTTAAGTATTTTTAAAAAAAAACAAGATTTAATGAAATCATGCATTGCACGATTTTTGACTTTGAAGGTGTATATCTTTGGATCAGGTAAGTTAGCACTCTAAAATTTTGAATTTACTAAAATATACTTAATAGATAATTATCATGCCAAGTTTCATTCATTTTAAAGATGGTCATCCAAAAATCTCGTTTTTTTTGGTCGATTTGACATGGAATGACCCATATATAAAATTAAAGGTGTTAATTATATATTTATATACTATCATGATATAACCAAAAACAATAAAAATATCAAATCAGTTTTTTGAAAATATAGGCCTTATCTGATATTTTTAAAAAACGTGAAATATTGGTCCAAATCCAATATTGACGATCAGCATAGCCTAGCAATATAGGTATGGAACACAATTGATTTATAAAATGGTTGTTATATAAATAGATAGCAATAGATAAGATATATTAAAGCCTTAATTGGTAGGAAAAAAATTATATACATATTAAAAATGTGATGGCCACAAAATTTTTTAAAAAAAATGTATCAAGCCTGGGCAGAATTTTTGTAAAATTTAATTGAGCTGGGTCTGACAATTCCTAAATTAAAACGGGCCAGGCCAGGCAAATTTCAAAAGCTGGGCCAGGAAACATGTGCAAAAGTAACAGGCCAGGCTTAGCAGACCTATATGATAGATTACAAAATTCTATAAACTAATATCATTAACATTTTAACCTGTAAATTAAAAACAATCTACACTTAAAATCTAATATAAAAGTAAAAAATTTTGATGTTGCATATTTTAATATAGACAACAGCAACAATGTATTGAGGAAGCACCTCATTACTTGTTATTATTGGAGAAAATTTTTTGGGATCAATTTAATTGGTATATACCCTTTGAAAACCAAAGGTATTTTTACTATAGCCATTTGTTGTGATTTAATATAACAATCTATCCACACATAGATGATAGATCTTCTTTTAAAAAATGTAGGTCAAATGTTAATAATGGCAACCCATAAAAATGTTGAAAAAAAATTTATGTTAATAATTAATTTTTAAATGATACTAAAATAAAAAAAACATAATCAAATTTATAATCATGATGTAATCAAATCATTACTTTGAACGAACATGTTTTTTGGCTTGTCTGATTGTCAAATAAATATTTATTGCAACTAGGCAAAAATAAATCAAAATTTATTCTCCGGAGATTTGTAAATTTATGAATAAATATATAAAATTTATAAGAAGAATGAAATAAATTATAACAAATTAATAAGAAAACTGCAAAATATTTGATAGCATGATTGACACAAAACTGACAATTATGACTAGTGTTGTTAAACAGCTCGTTTTGAGCCGATTTTTAAAAACGGCTAACTCAATATTTCATCCAGAAAAATATTACGCAAGCCTGAAGATTTTACTCACAAAAGGAACAAAGGTCTAGACATATATTAACGAAATCTCGAGACTCAGATAATATTTTTCTGGCTAAAATATTGAGTTAGCCGTTTTAAAAAATTGGCTCATAATGAGCCATTTAAGAACATTAATTATGACTGTAGACATGTACTCTACCTAAGGATTAGTTTCAATTGCTATATTATACATATTTAAAACGCAAGTGTGCATAGAATAACGTTTTTACACAAGATAGGAGATTAATTTTAACATTTAAAAATATTATCTTTCTTTAAATATAAGAAATTGGTTAAGAGATTATATCAAAAAATATGCTTGAAACATATAGGTAATATATTTTTATAATTTATATAAAATATAATAAATTACATTTATACACAATAATACAAAAAAATGGATATTCCGAACAAGTAGAAGAAATTTCTTTATAGAAAGTTAGTAGAGATAGTTAATATTCCTCTATTATATAGAATTAGTTACAAAATATTAGGTAAAATGTCACTTTACATATAATTGATAGTTATAGAATGTATTACACTTAAAATTTAATAAACTTTACTAATCAATGTTTTTGATAATAAATATAAGCAACAATTTGCATTCAATTCTTTCATCTATTTATAAAAAAATGATATTAAATTTAATCATCATATTATTCATCTCACAATGGATGCACCTTATTAGATATTGACGCTACTCAAATATAGAAATATTTATTTCAATTACATTCTTTAAAAGATATTTTCTGCTGTCCTTATCAATATTTTATGGTCTTCTGTTAAATATTTAATTCACTATTGGTAAATGTTATTGGATTGTCATACGATATATAAAATTAGATATATTGTACTACGACTCATAATATTCCAATGTTTGTGCATTAATCATATTAATTTAATTTATAATTTAATTTTATCAATAATTTGAAAATTATATTTTACATTTATTAAGATAAATAAATTAAAGTTACACACTTTATAAAAAATTATTGTATATTATTTATTTAGTAATTTTATGGATCTATTAATAGTAATTATGGGATCGGTTCTAAATCGCTAAACGAAAAATCGCTAAACGAAAAATCGCTAAAAAATGGGATGTTCCCAATTTTGTTACCAGTGAAAATCCCAAAGATGTCTACTAGTGTTTTATTTAAAAAATGAAGATTCAAACCGTAGCAGAAAACATAAATAATTTACTTAAGCTTAGGAAATTAGATATTAAAGTATGTATAATTTATAGATATGAAAATTTTATTTACATTTAAATTTTTTTACTTGTAAACCAATTCAAAATAAAACTTAATTGTAATTATATATTATTATATTTTAGATGTTTCACCTTTAAATATTTGAGATACATCTATTTAATTTATAGTTATTTAATATGATTTATAATTTTTAACTTGGATTTGAGAGGGTCAAGGATTCTCCATGAGATTAAGAAGATATTTGAGATACATCTATTTAATTTATAGTTAATTCATATGATTTATAATTTTTAACTTGGATATGAGAGGGTCAAGGATTCTCCATGAGATTGAGAAAATATTTGAGATACATCTATTTAATTTATAATTAATTAATATGATTTATAATTTTTAACTTGGACTTGAGAGGGTCAAGGATTCTCCATGAGATTGAGGAGATATTTGAGATACATCTATTTAATTTATAGTTAATTAATATTATTTATAATTTTTAACTTGGATTTGATAGGGTCAAGGATTCTCCATGAGATTGAGAAGATATTTGAGATACATCTATTTAATTTATAGTTAATTAATATTATTTATAATTTTTAACTTGGATTTGATAGGGTCAAGGATTCTCCATGAGATTAAGAAGATATTTGAGATACATCTATTAATTTATAGTTAATTAATATTATATATAATTTTTAACTTGGATTTGAGAGGGTCAAGGATTATCCATGAGATTGAGAAGATATTTGAGATACATCTATTTAATTTATAGTTAATTAATATTATTTATAATTTTTAACTTGGATTTGAGAGGATCAAGGATTATCCATGAGATTGAGAAGATATTTGAGATTAATTTATAGTTAATTAATATTATTTATATTTTTTAACTTGGATTTGAGAGGGTCAAGGATTCTCCATGAGATTGAGAAGATATTTGAGATACATCTATTTAATTTATAGTTAATTAATATGATTTATAATTTTTAACTTGGATTTGACAGGGTCAAGGATTCTCCATGAGATTGAGAAGATATTTGAGATACATCTATTTAATTTATAGTTAATTAATATTATTTATAATTTTTAACTTGGATTTGATAGGGTCAAGGATTCTCCATGAGATTGAGAAGATATTTGAGATACATCTATTTAATTTATAGTTAATTAATATTATTTATAATTTTTAACTTGGATTTGAGAGGGCCAAGTATTCTCCATGAGATTGAGAAGATGTTTGATTACATCTATATGATTTTGAGTTTATTAGACACTTGTAAACCAATTCAAAGTAAAACTTAATTGTAATTATATATCATTATATTTTAGATGTTTCACCTTTATCATCAAACATTATCTTAGAACAACTGAGATCAAATTTTCAAGGTAAAAATATTTTATTACATAATTATAAAATAATAAACTCAAAATCATTTAGATGTATCTCAAATATCTTCTCAATCTCATGGAGAATCCTTGACCCTCTCAAATCCAAGTTAAAAATTATAAATCTTAAATAAATATTATAATTTTAGGTACTATAACCATTATCTAAACACAAATTTTAAAATAGGTTATACTCAAAGTCATTCAGCTTACACATCCCCTCTTTGCTCATATATCTCCCCATATATTCCTGATTTTCAAAGTAACATTTTTATAACAAATCAATTTAATCTATAAAATATAGATGCTCCCAACATATCAAATGATTTCTATACATCTCCTCTTAATTCAGAAATAGAAAGTAATAATTCTTAATGAAAATATATATCACTATATATATAGGCAATTATTTTTTAGAAAATATGGATAATTATGGATTTGCAGAATCTCTAATAGATTTTAATGAAAATATACATATTTTTGGTAAATTTCTATATAAACATCTAAAAATTTTCTTATATTTTAGAGGAACCAACATTTATCGATAGCCAAAAGGGCAAATCATTGCTCTTTTTTTTAAATTTTCTTTACCGTTATAACGGTACATACAGGAATACAATTAACTACCGTTGTCTAAAAGCTGATTGTAAAGTGACGTGTATATATATTCAAGGATACACAATATCCACATGAACATCAAAATCATGCTATACTTTTTCACAAATTAAAAACTTTGCAAACAGTAAAAGCAACGGTACAACAAAATCCTTTAGATACAAGGATCAATATCTATCTAAAGGCATTAAACCAACAATGCTCTGAAGATCCAGATATAATCAATTATCCAGGAGCCTTACCACCTTTTATTTCCGTTAAAAATACGATTAACCGTATTTTAAAACAAACCAGGTTAAATATTCCCATTAGCAATGACACAATTGTATTGACCACTGAATTGATAACAACATTCAGTGGTGATAGCTTCTTAATAAAAAACAATAATAACAAACTTATTGTATTTGGGTCTGTCATGTTCGTCAGTTTATCTTCCTATACAAAATTCATTTATATGGATGGGACTTTTTACACATGTCCACGTTTTTTAGCCAATTATATACTATACATATGTATAATCAAACGATGATCCCTACCATATATGCACTTCTTCCAGATAAAAGGAAGGAGTCATATATTGAGCTATTTCAAATAATCGTGGAATATGGGACATTGAATGGTATCCAGTTTTCACCAGACATGGCACAAACCGACTATGAAGCAGGAGCGATATCTGTTCTACAATTTGTATTTCCCAATATTTTAGTAAAGGGTAAAGTTTAAATTATATACAGTTGTATAATTTATTTTTAGACTGCTTCTTCCACTTTACGCAGGCCATTTGGCGTAAAGTTCAGCATTTAGGTGTAGTCAAGCAGTATAAAGAAGAGACTGCTGTATACACTATTGTTCGAAGGATGAGTGTATTACCTTTATGCAAGAGAGAGGACATTCAAGTGGTCCGTGATTCTTGTGTAGATCTAGCAGCCAATGACCCGTTAATATTAAGTTTCTTAATATATATGGATACTACCTGGATAAATTCTGATGCAATCTTTCCTCATCAAATTTGGACCAGGTAATTATTTCATTTTTATTAATTCCTCACAATTCATATAAAAGTTTATAATATTTTTAACATTTAATACATTGTTTGGTGTTAAGTATAAGATTCAAGGTCCTCGCAAATCATCTCGAAGGATATCACCATTCCCTCAAGCGAATGGCAAAAAATGCTCATCCGGACATATATTCATTAATTCGCGTTTTAAAAGATAACCAACGCCTGACAGAATTTAAAGTTATACAAATCAAAAACGGGGAAATAGTTACGGAGAAAAATAAAAAATATGTGATATTTAATAAAAAAATTGTAAACTTAACAGCATTATATGATATTACTTCTAATTTATTTTTTTTTATTGATAAAGTGTCTGATTTAATAAAATCATATTAAATATATATTATTAAATTTAAAATAGTTGTAGATATATTGTTAATAAAAAATTTAATATAAAATTGATAAAAAAGACCAATATACTTGGTGTTTCGATTGAAATGATACTTTATTTTACTTATTCATAACTTAGTAAATTTTTTGTTTATATGACAAGATTTTCACTGGATGTAGATTTCTATCATAAATCTATATACAGCGTCTACATGAGCGGGAGGGGTAGGAACAGTTTGCATCCTATTTTTTGAGGGGGTGGGTGGTAAGCTGCTTTAATGGGGGTAGGATAAAAAATTTTTGGGGTTATCTATTAAATCTTGAGATGAAATAAGACAAAATTTATTGCTGTAAAAATTAATACTATTATTATGGAATTATTATAATACAATTCATCGACCAAATCTATATATTGCAAACAATCATACACATTGTTTTCCAAATAAACTATCCATTTAAATGTAATTTAAGGTTTAGATATTTCAGCAAGCTCATAATGCCATAATAATTAATTCATTGTAAATAATGGGAGTTTTAATTGAATTTATTATCTAAAAAATAAATTCTTTATATTCACAAAATATCGATAGATGGTAGTAGAGATAGATTAATTTAAGTTATCCTTTATAAATTCTTTGAAAAGAATATCAAGTATCAATAAATTAAATAGGTAAAAATAATAATAAAAAGACACCGCCGCCAGGAGGCGGTAATTTTTTAGAAGGTTAGGCAAAGGTTTTTGAAGGGGGTTTGCCTCCAATGAAAATCCTGACATGTAGACACTGTCTATATACCCCCTCCCCCTAAAAAAAATTCGCAAATAAAAGAATACTCCCTCTATAACTTCTCAACTATCATCTCGCTAAATATTATTAATATAAAAAGGTTACTTTTTAAAACATGAGGTAGATGTAATTCATCGCATATTATATGTTTAGGATCAAGTTATAATTTAAATTAAAATATAACTTGATCCTAAATATATATAATATTGATGAATTACATCTACCTCACATAAAGGTATTGGTATTTTATATTTGGATTCTGGTCTGTATTTTTATGAACTGCCTTAAGAATAATTATCCGAATATGATTGTTACCTCTCATGCCCTATTGATAATTTTCTTTGTCATTATACCTATTTTAGTTGGGGGTTTTGGTAATTGATTAATTCCTTTAATTCTTTCATCTCCTGATATATTTCATCATTAGGGTCCTAATAATATTATATATATATATTAAAATTTATTATAATATCCCCCTTAAAATATATATTTGTTATTAAGTATTGAATATAATTATTGAGAAAATTTTATATTGCCATTTAAAATATTTTTGTAAAACGCCTTGTTAATAATATAATTTGTAATTATATACTAAAATTTATTATAATTTCTCCCATAAGATATATATTTGTATTAAGTATTTTAACTATTGATGAAATTTTTTAATGCTTTTTAAAATAATTAAAAATTTATAAAACGCATACTTAATAATATTATATATATTAAAATTTATTATAATATCCCCCTTAAAATATATATTTGTTATTAAGTATTGAAGATAACTATTGATAAAATCTTTTATTGCCATTTAAAATATTTTTGTAAAACGCCTTGTTAATAATATAATTTGTAATTATATACTAAAATTTATTATAATTACTCCCTTAAGATATATATTTGTATTAAGTATTTTAACTATTGATGAAATTTTTTAATGCTATTTAAAACAATTATTAAATTTGTAAAACGCATACTTAATAATATTATATATATATATTAAAATTTATTATAATATCCCCCTTAAAATATATATTTGTTATTAAGTATTGAAGATAACTATTGATAAAATCTTTTATTGCCATTTAAAATATTTTTGTAAAACGCCTTGTTAATAATATAATTTGTAATTATATACTAAAATTTATTATAATTACTCCCTTAAGATATATATTTGTATTAAGTATTTTAACTATTGATGAAATTTTTTAATGCTATTTAAAACAATTATTAAATTTGTAAAACGCATACTTAATAATATTATATATATATATTAAAATTTATTATAATATCCCCCTTAAAATATATATTTGTTATTAAGTATTGAATATAACTATTGATAAAATCTTTTATTGCCATTTAAAATATTTTTGTAAAACACCTTGTTAATAATATAATTTGTAATTATATACTAAAATTTATTATAATTTCTCCCTTAGGATATATATTTGTATTAAGTATTTTAACTATTGATGAAATTTTTTAATGCTTTTTAAAATAATTAAAAATTTATAAAACGCATACTTAATAATATTATATATATATATTAAAATTTATTATAATATCCCCCTTAAAATATATATTTGTTATTAAGTATTGAATATAACTATTGATAAAATCTTTTATTGCCATTTAAAATATTTTTGTAAAACGCCTTGTTAATAATATAATATGTAATTATATACTAAAATTTATTATAATTTCTCCCTTATATATATTTGTATTAAGTATTTTAACTATTGATGAAATTTTTTAATGCTAAAATAATTAAAAATTTATAAAACGCATACTTAATAATATTATATATATATATATTAAAATTTATTATAATATTCCCCTTAAAATATATATTTGTTATTAAGTATTGAATATAACTATTGATAAAATCTTTTATTGCCATTTAAAATATTTTTGTAAAACACCTTGTTAATAATATAATTTGTAATTATATACTAAAATTTATTATAATTTCTCCCTTAAGATATATATTTGTATTAAGTATTTTAACTATTGATGAAATTTTTTAATGCTTTTTAAAATAATTAAAAATTTATAAAACGCATACTTAATAATATTATATATATATATTAAAATTTATTATAATATCCCCCTTAAAATATATATTTGTTATTAAGTATTGAATATAACTATTGATAATATCTTTTATTGCCATTTAAAATATTATTGTAAAACGCCTTGTTAATAATATAATATGTAATTATATACCAAAATTTATTATAATTTCTCCCTTATATATATTTGTATTAAGTATTTTAACTATTGATGAAATTTTTTAATGCTAAAAAAATTAAAAATTTATAAAACGCATACTTAATAATATTATATATATATTAAAATTTATTATAATATTCCCCTTAAAATATATATTTGTTATTAAGTATTGAATATAACTATTGATAAAATCTTTTATTGCCATTTAAAATATTTTTGCAAAACGCCTTGTTAATAATATAATTTGTAATTATATACTAAAATTTATTATAATTTCTCCCTTAAGATATATATTTGTATTAAGTATTTTAACTATTGATGAAATTTTTTAATGCTTTTTAAAATAATTAAAAATTTATAAAACGAATACTTAATAATATTATATATATATATTAAAATTTATTATAATATCCCCCTTAAAATATATATTTGTTATTAAGTATTGAATATAACTATTGATAAAATCTTTTATTGCCATTTAAAATATTTTTGTAAAACGCCTTGTTAATAATATAATTTGTAATTATATACTAAAATTTATTATAATTTCTCCCTTAAGATATATATTTGTATTAAGTATTTTAACTATTGATAAAATTTTTTAATGCTAAAATAATTAAAAATTTATAAAACGCATACTTAATAATATTATATATATATATTAAAATTTATTATAATGTTCCCCTTAAAATATATATTTGTTATTAAGTATTGAATATAACTATTGATAAAATCTTTTATTGCCATTTAAAATATTTTTGTAAAACACCTTGTTAATAATATAATTTGTAATTGTATACTAAAATTTATTATAATTTCTCCCTTAAGATATATATTTGTATTAAGTATTTTAACTATTGATGAAATTTTTTAATGCTTTTTAAAATAATTAAAAATTTATAAAACGCATACTTAATAATATTATATAATCTTTTATTGCCATTTAAAATATTTTTGTAAAACGCCTTGTTAATAATATAATTTGTAATTATATACTAAAATTTATTATAATTACTCCCTTAAGATATATATTTGTATTAAGTATTTTAACTATTGATGAAATTTTTTAATGCTATTTAAAACAATTATTAAATTTGTAAAACGCATACTTAATAATATTATATATATATATTAAAATTTATTATAATATCCCCCTTAAAATATATATTTGTTATTAAGTATTGAAGATAACTATTGATAAAATCTTTTATTGCCATTTAAAATATTTTTGTAAAACGCCTTGTTAATAATATAATTTGTAATTATATACTAAAATTTATTATAATTACTCCCTTAAGATATATATTTGTATTAAGTATTTTAACTATTGATGAAATTTTTTAATGCTATTTAAAACAATTATTAAATTTGTAAAACGCATACTTAATAATATTATATATATATATTAAAATTTATTATAATATCCCCCTTAAAATATATATTTGTTATTAAGTATTGAATATAACTATTGATAAAATCTTTTATTGCCATTTAAAATATTTTTGTAAAACACCTTGTTAATAATATAATTTGTAATTATATACTAAAATTTATTATAATTTCTCCCTTAGGATATATATTTGTATTAAGTATTTTAACTATTGATGAAATTTTTTAATGCTTTTTAAAATAATTAAAAATTTATAAAACGCATACTTAATAATATTATATATATATATTAAAATTTATTATAATATCCCCCTTAAAATATATATTTGTTATTAAGTATTGAATATAACTATTGATAAAATCTTTTATTGCCATTTAAAATATTTTTGTAAAACGCCTTGTTAATAATATAATATGTAATTATATACTAAAATTTATTATAATTTCTCCCTTATATATATTTGTATTAAGTATTTTAACTATTGATGAAATTTTTTAATGCTAAAATAATTAAAAATTTATAAAACGCATACTTAATAATATTATATATATATATATTAAAATTTATTATAATATTCCCCTTAAAATATATATTTGTTATTAAGTATTGAATATAACTATTGATAAAATCTTTTATTGCCATTAAAAATATTTTTGTAAAACACCTTGTTAATAATATAATTTGTAATTATATACTAAAATTTATTATAATTTCTCCCTTAAGATATATATTTGTATTAAGTATTTTAACTATTGATGAAATTTTTTAATGCTTTTTAAAATAATTAAAAATTTATAAAACGCATACTTAATAATATTATATATATATATTAAAATTTATTATAATATCCCCCTTAAAATATATATTTGTTATTAAGTATTGAATATAACTATTGATAATATCTTTTATTGCCATTTAAAATATTTTTGTAAAACGCCTTGTTAATAATATAATATGTAATTATATACTAAAATTTATTATAATTTCTCCCTTATATATATTTGTATTAAGTATTTTAACTATTGATGAAATTTTTTAATGCTAAAAAAATTAAAAATTTATAAAACGCATACTTAATAATATTATATATATATTAAAATTTATTATAATATTCCCCTTAAAATATATATTTGTTATTAAGTATTGAATATAACTATTGATAAAATCTTTTATTGCCATTTAAAATATTTTTGCAAAACGCCTTGTTAATAATATAATTTGTAATTATATACTAAAATTTATTATAATTTCTCCCTTAAGATATATATTTGTATTAAGTATTTTAACTATTGATGAAATTTTTTAATGCTTTTTAAAACAATTATTAAATTTGTAAAACGCATACTTAATAATATTATATATATATATATAAAATTTATTATAATATCCCCCTTAAAATATATATTTGTTATTAAGTATTGAATATAACTATTGATAAAATCTTTTATTGCCATTTAAAATA